TGAGCCATGCCAGTTCTTTGATCTGATTCACCTCCTAAAAGCTAGTCCCAGCATAAAGTTAGTGCTGGAAATGGAGGTCAGGCAGAGCCACCCTGCTGCAGCAAAATCCTTCATGTTGGCTGGCTCAAACTGACGGGCACGTATCGGGGCAATGGAGTGTCTGTGTGCCCCCAGCTCGTTTGAGGAACAGAACACATGAGTAGGCCACCTGTGTGTCATCACTGAAATGAAACTGAACTCCCTGCATATCTCTAAATTAAAAAGCACTGTGTGTGTAAGAGAAGAGGTAGAATACAGCTCATCGTGATCATGAATGATGTTGGTTCCTGAGCAGTCTCTGTGGTGAGGTACTTTCGTTTGCAGGAGGTCATTCACCTTGGCTGATCTCTAACGTTGCTCATACTCCCCCGCAGCCCCCACTTGAAAGTGAAGGTCACACGATGTCCTCTGCAGTTTGAACTGGTGTTCTCAGCGCAGCCCTCTCTAAATGTGTCACACCATGTCATTTGCCCTGGAAGTTTCCGTGTAAGTTACACTTAGATGCTGCAGTGCTTCCATCTCCACCCACTGCAGAAGCTTCTGGCATCATTAGTCTAGAAGCTGGATGAAGGGCTGTAGAAGAAGAATCTCCTGTCCAAGCAGTTATCGCATTTTAGGTCAAAACCAAACACAGCGTCATTTCTCAAAATAAACTTTCACTTTCTCTGTATCATCACCTCATGAGTAAACATCAGAACCTTTAATTCTCTAGTAATTTCATCAGATAAATGGTACTTTACTGGTCTTTTTGGATGTTGAAGTAACGAGAAGCACTGGGGATCCATAAATAGGAGGCCTGAAGCTGTTGTCATCTTTAATTTTGTGCCAGAATTTGGAATTGCCTATTGGTGAACTGGACTCTGAAGTCTTCAGTGTTGTGCTATAGAAGCAAACACAAGTTCTTCTCTTATTCAGCAGAAACCCAATGAGGTGCCTTGATTTCAGCAACAAAGATCTGTGAGTCCAGGACAGCCCTAGCTCTGGTGTAGCATGAGCTGCTTGGGTTGGCCAGCTGGGTTGGAAGGAGTTCATGATTTGTGCCCGCAGTGGGGCTGTACTGGGTTTCTCTTTTTGCTATTAGGTAAGAGAGTAAAGAATCATTTGAAAGGCAATGATTTGTTAGGTTGGGGAATCATGATCTCTCCTAGAGAAGCTGTGCACAAATTTGTAAAGAAAGGATCTGCTAGTTATTGTACCCCGTTGCTGGCTGGACAGCCAGTTCTGCCCAGGTCTGCCTGTGCCTTTAGGTACTATTTTATAAATCCTGTTGCCAGAATCTTGGTGAGTGATGTTAGTTTTCTTTTATCATTGTGCTGGTTGTGGTTTTGTGGATTTTGTGGTATCAAGCCCCCTAATTGCCTTAGACAGTTTCATTTCTTTTCAAATCTTCTTAATATTGTTATTTTCATTTCAATGTGTTTGAGTTGTGAAGCAATAATTTCGAAAGTTTTAATTCCCCCTGTAAAATAGATGTATTTACAAACATTATTTCATACACTTCTGTTTGCATGGATAACTACAGAAGATGAATTCTAGCCAGATAAAGGATATTTTTTTTTGTTAGGGCCATCACTGAAACAAGCCTAGATTGCAGGTTGGACCGCAGCTCTTTTGTGGATTCATACCAAGATAATAAGGTGTGGTACTACACAGCTAGAAGTCAGAAGAGCTGAACTGCTGAACTCCTGCTAAAAGCAGAGTACTTCTTCCTTTTATCCATGTGCTGTGTTTGAGCCTTTTCTGCTACATCTGTTCTAAATGTGCTGCGTTTTGCAGTCATTCTGCTTGATGTGTGTAGTGCCACAGATCTCAGTAAAGCTACATATGTGAAGCTTGCACGGTTGGTTTCCTCCACAAACTTTTAGCAGCATTTCTTAACTGAATAAATTTAGGTTTGTCTGGTTTAATGCTGTCCATTCTCCTTTGGTGTGGAAGTTAATGAAATAACCCGAATGGCGCGACCATCCTCTGTATGGCCATACTCCAGGCATTAGTCATTGTGTTCGTCTGCCTCATTTTTGTTTGTTTTTAATATTCTCAAGATGTAAGCCAGCATACGGTCAAGTCTGTGGTTACTCTCAAATAGACTTCAGAGGGAGCAGAATTAGACGTTCATTAAAAATAACAACATTTTATTTTCTTTGGATGATTATCTTTTAGGCGTGAACAAAATATGTTTTGAAATTGATGAAAGCTGTGTGCATCTTTATACAAGCATGGAATTTAGCCTCTGTATTTTTAAGTGTGTCATCACAAGATGGAGTCACAGCTGTCTTGTTCTCCTTTTTTTTTTTCTGTTATGTTCTTCTCATCTGAGCAAAAATAGCCCAAGAGGAATCAGTCTTGACTGAGCACTTCCCCTCTGAAATTGCAGGTTTTTATAATTTATGAAGTCATTTATAAGGACATGCAAATTAAGAGCCATGTGTTTTGCTTCAATACAAGGAACTGTTTACAGTAAATCTGTTTACAGTCCTGTTTAATGTCTTTATTGACGACCTGGACGAGAGAACTGATTGCACCCTCAGTAAGTTTTCAGTTTACATACCTGGTTGTCCTCTCAACCAGGAAGGCCCTATAAAGGGATGTGGACAGGATGAATCAATGGGCTGAGGCCAGTCGTAAGATTAAGTGCCAGGTCTTGCAGTTGGTCACAGCAACTCTGTGTACCTGGCTTGTGTCAACAGTAGTGCAGTCAGCAAGACCAGCACCTCTGTACTGGCACTGGTGAGGACACACCTCAAGTGCTGTGTTAGGGTTCGGCCCCTCATGACAAGGAAGACATTGAGGCCATGGAGCACAACTAGAGAAAGGGCAGCAAAGCTGGTGAGGGTTCTGGAGCTCAAGTGTGATGGGGGGCGGCTGAGGGAGCTGGGGTTGTTTGATGTGGAGAAGAAGGGGCTTAGGGAAGACCTCACTGCTCTCTACACCCTGACAGGAGATTGTAGTGAGGTAGGAGTCAGGCTGTTCTCCCAAATAGTGAGAAGATGAGAGGGAACAGCCACAAGAGATTCAGGTTGGATATTAGGAAACATTTATTCTCAGAAATGAGTGATGAGGCATTGGAACAGGCTGCCCAGGGAGGTGGTGGAGTCACCATCTCTGATGGCATAAGGAACTTACAGGTGACGTGTAGGGACATGGCTTAGTGGTGATGGGTTGATGGTCAGGCTTGATGGTCTTAGAGGTCTTTCCCAATCTTAATGATTCTGTAGTTCTATATCTTGAAATTTTTGGGATGTTTCACCTTTCCTGAATCAAGCAGTCAAACAAGAGGTTTGAAATTTGACTACTGCTTGGGCTCTGTGGCTCAATAATGGCTGGTAAAATTCACTAACACAAGCCGCTAAGCCTGTGTGTCCCTGCAAGCTAATTGCTTACTGGCACAGTGTTTAAGCATGGATCAGAGTCATCTGAGCTGCTGGGAACAAATTAACATTAAACATCTGATAATGCCCTGTGCAAGCTCTGATGTAGAGAACACGGTTTTTTTCCCCCCCTAAATCAGAGTGTGTCAAGAGGCAGTTGGGGTACAACGTGCTGAACTGTTTCAGCAGTGTTGATGTTCAGAGACCTCCTGACTACCTATTAACTCATCTAAATGTGAAGATATTATCAAGTGTATTTTTAACATAAGTTTGCTGATAGTCACCATCAGGTGTGTTTTGGCTACCTTCTCCAACAGCCAGCTGTGAGCACCTGAAGGGAGAAATCACCAGAACCTACACCAGGAACTGGCTTGTCTGTAGCATCCTTGAGAGCAAATGCTGTGGAGTAAAATTATTAGAGCTTGAATATTCGTTTGAAGGGGAAAGGTCAACAGAATGACAGGGGGTGAACATCACAGCTGCTTTGTCATTACTGACTCACTGGCTTTCTGGAGTAAGTGCATGTGTTGGGGGTTCTGCCCCCAGTGAGGCAGCACTGGTTGCCGTGTTCCCAGTGATACTTCTGTGGTGGGATCCATGGCGCAGTGCAGGGCTGGGGGTTGAGATGGGCTTCTGTCACAGTTTGTCACCCTGTATGTCTAAAAGCACAGAACTTAAAAAACTGTAGCAGCGGAGAAAACTTGCTTTCTACAAATGCTGTTATATTAAGTTAGTAGCTCAGCTAATGAAGTACGTGAGATTACAAAACTTCACTCTGCATATCTGATAACAGCCGAACAGAAACCTGCAGAGCTCATGCAGACAGAACTTCCCTCGGTCCCAGCATTTTTGGGACTACATACATAGTTGCTGCTTAATTTTGAACTGACCAGTATTTGTCTTAAGACCGCTGATTGCAGGCTTGTAAAACAGAAAGGTGATTTGATTTCTTTTTACTGAGAAACGGAGATATTCAGAACACAAGAAAGACTAAAAATGCCAGTGGAAAGTATTCTGAGCTCAGCATTGGTTGTTTCACACTATCAAAAGGTGAAAGGAAGAAATCGCTTGAGTGGGCACTGTGGAATCCCACTCATGGCAGGGTGCAGACCAACCCAGTGATAAATGCTAAAGGTCAGAACATTGCAGTCTAATCACTATAATGTGATCCACGGGCTTCTTATCACAAACACATTTAATTTTTTTTTCTTCAAGAGGCCTTTGAAAGGGCTGGAGAGGGAGTGAACTTCAGAAGCTGTGATCTGCTGACTCGATGCACATTCACTTTAGGCAATTATAAAGAGCATGAGTATGTTGGACTGCAGCATTGAGCAATTTTGGAAAAGAAAACTGCTTCAAGTGATTTTAATTACTAGTGCTTCTACTTAAATGAAATTAAATCGGATTCTTATTTTGCTACCATTGAGTGTTAACACAATAATTTAATGTCAGGCCTTAAAGAAAAACATTGATTTCAGATAGTGTTTATTCTGCCAATTACCCATGAAACTGGGAGTACATTGAATGTTTGATGATTATATCTTAGGTCCTGTGTTTTGAAATAAAAATAAGTAAACCCATGAACAAAACTGATATGCTGAGCTGGGGTTATTTATTACTGTGTTTTACACTGAAAGGAATTTATGAGGAAACATTATTTCCAGCTAGGGTTTGCTCGTTGGATTAGAGAAGTACATCATAAAGACACCACTAATCACTGTACCCAGGTTCAAGAGTGATACTGGTTTTGCTGGGAAAGTGTAGATAGCCTGTATTGTTCAACCTTCATCCTTGTGCCAAGAACTGGATTATTTTCCATCTCAGTCTCTAGGGGAAAATAACCGTTGTCACACAGCAGAAATCTCTCACTTGCAAATTTTTAGCTAGATCCTAGGACTTCTTTGTGCTGAAGTACTTCTTTTTCCAGGGGCATTCCTTTTTTAAATATCATTATGCACAAGTCAGAGATGCATCCAGAGAATGACTTCAAAACTATAAATACATGAAACCGGTCTGGAAGGCGAAGTAAAGAAACTGGTAGGCAAGGAGGACACAAGGAACAAGTTTACGACCAGGAAAAGAGGACGGTGAAGGTAGAGAATCTTGGTTGGTGCCTGCTGCTCAGAGGCAGCTGTGCTGAGGCTCAGTTTGTCTCATCTGAACTCACCCATGGGATAATGCAGTCAAAGAACAAACCTTTGTAGAAACATGATGACTGACTTCTTTGAAGGGAAGCTTTTATTGCTTACTTCAGATTTAGTCTTGCTCGATCAAAGAAAAGTATTAAGACTTTTTTTTGTAGTGTTTTTTGTATACAAGGAATTTATTCATGCATAGTACTGTAGAATGCTATGGACACACTTCCTTTGCTTTGGCAACAACTAGAAATTGGATAATTTCTTTTACTGGTGGAGACGTGACTAGATTCTTAAAGAATTACTTCGTTTAATTGTTGTTTTTGAAGACTATTTCTCAGTCTTGTGTTTCTTTTTGCTATTCAGTGCCTGAGGAGCAGCTGCACAACATTGATGAGTACGATCTCAACGTTGTCCGCCTCTGTTTCCAAGCTTTCCTCCCTGATGAACATGGCAACTACACATTAGCTCTTCCTCCTTTGATTTCCAACCCTATCTATGACAACAGTAAGTAACAACTCAGTCAAATGTGCTCCCCTCTCATGTTTCCCTCCCCCTCACTTTGAGATGAAAAACACCAGGACAGAGTCTGAGCTTTTGAGCTCTTCACTAGCCCTCAGAGGCACTTTTGTATCCTATTGCTATTTTCAGTGTAGACAGACTAAGTAGAGAATGTTTGGCTGTGATCTAGAAGGATGCAGAAGTACAACACACCTCTTCCTAATACCACTTTCCGCATTCTGTAAGACTTGACTTCTGTATGACTTCAGTTGAGGATTTTGGCTTCCAGTGTTCGTTGGATTTCTTTTGGAGAAGAATAGCAGAGGAGCTAATGATCAACAAATTTTTTTTTTTTTTTTTTTTTTGCATTGATTTTTATTTCTGCAGTGAAAGTACTCCTGTATTTAAGGTGAAGATTTGTTATTTAGTGGAAGATACAGCTTAATCTGAGATCTGCATTTTATACTATTGACATGCAGAATTTCAGTGATGTGCACATAAGCATTATTATAGAATAGCTTGGGTTGGAAGGAACCCCAAAGATCATTAAGTTCCAGCCCCCCTGCCATAGGCAGGGCCACCAACCTCCATACCTAATACCAGACCAGGCTACCCAGGGCCCCATCCAACCTGGCCTTGAACGTCTCCAAGACGGGGCACCTACAGCCTCCCTTGACAAGTCTGTTCCAGCACCTTACCACTCTATTAGAGAAGAGCTTTTTCTTGATATCCAACCTAAATTTTCCCTCCCTCAGCTTAAAACCATTTCCCCTCCTCTTTGTAGGCTCCCTTCAGGTACTGGAAGGTTGCAATGAGGTCACCCCGCAGCCTTCTCTTCTCCAGGCTGAAGAAGCTCAGCTCCCTCAGCCTGCCTTCATAGGGGAGGTGCTCCAGCCCTGTAAACATCTCTGTGGTTCTCCTTTGGACCTTCTCCAATGGCTCCCTGTCTTTCTTGTATTGTGGTCCCCAGACCTGGACACAGGGGCTTCAAAAGAGCAGAGTAGAGAGAAACAATCACCTCCCTGTCCCTGCTGGCCACCCCTCTTCTGATGGAACCCAGGACACCATTTGCTTTCCAAGCTGCAAGAGTACACTGGTGGCTCATGTTGAATGTATAATCAATGACTGTTAAGATGTTGTAATTACAAAATCAACAAGAGGGTTATAGGCAAAGCAGATTATGAGAACAAAAAGAGAATAGACAGGAAGCTTACCTGTATCCTGGGCCCACAAAACTCCAGCAGAGCAGATCTCCAGTAGAGCTCCTTCCCTACTGGTATCCAGCTCTTAAATAGGTCTAGGAGGGGTGGAGCCAGGCAGCACAGGTGGATTGCCTTCACCTGTGTTCCTCTGGCTGACTCATGGCTCGCCTCAGGTGATCAATCAGAGGTTCAGGCTGTGACTCAGCAGTTCCCATACGTTAAGCTTTTCATCTATCAGAACCCCCAGGTCCTCCTCTGCAGGGCTGCTCTCAAGGACCGCTCCTCCCAGTCTGTATGGATGCCTGGGATTCCTCCAGACCAAGTGCCAAACCCTGCACTCTGCTGTGTTGAACCTCATCGGGTTCACCCAGGCCCACCTTTCTAGCTTGTTGAGGTCCCTCTGAATGGCATCCCTTCCTTCCATTGTGTCGACTGCACTGCTCAGCTTGGTGTCATCAGCAAATTGCTGAGGGTGCACTCGATTCCATCACTGATGTCATTGATAAAGATGTTGAAGAGCACCAGTCTCAAACAGACCCCTGGGGGACGCCACTCACTACTGGCCTTCGCCTGGATACAGAGCCGTTGATCACCACCCTTTGTCTTTTATGAAAATGTTTAATATGAACTCAAGCATTTTTTGTGTATCTAGAATTACGTAGAAGTTGAAATTGGCTGAGAACACTCAGTAATAATTTGGGTTGAGAAAGAGTCGATACACAGGATTTGCAGCTACATCTCAGATGCCATTTAAAAAAATGCCAAATCACAATTAGTCGTCTGTGTTGATTGACGTCATTCTTTGCTAAGCTGCTGAAATGGCAGCTGCACAGAGGGGAAGCTTGGGTTTTAATGTGGGTATATGTGGGCAGATTCTGATTCACTGTAGGTATCTAAAATCCTCCATGTAACATAGCAGCAGTGTAAATAGTGCATAACTGCAACCACGAAATCACAAAAGTTATGCTGCTCTTGTCTGAAATGAGCAGAATTTCTTGAAAAAAAAAAAACAAATAAAGAAAGCCTTTGTAAATCAGCTCTGTCATAGAATACTGAGTAAACTCAGGTTACCACTTTGGATAAGTGATAAAAATGTACAGTACATTGGGCTTGGGAATCCTGTGTTATTATTTCAAGCTTTTGCAGCCCTGTTGAGATCAGAAGCAAAAACATACTTAGAGCTTCTCTGAAAATCACGTTCAGATTTTAAATCCGGTCTTTTCTTTATTCTCTATCACCAGTCTGGGTAGCAGACATGAATAAGAATAATCGGAATATAATGTAGAAGCAGTGATGTCAGCAGAGACTGAAAGTTTACAAAGTCCATTATGATAGGCAGTTTCTGTTTTCAGTTATTTTATAATGTTAGCTGCTTTTGAACAAAAATCTCCCAAGTTGTCTGTCTTACCACCCCCAAAACTCTTGGGAAGAGTCACAGAAAGCAGCTTACTGTTTCTGAGAAGTTGGGAAGAGCATGTTCTCATGCTGTTGTTGAAAATGGTAGTTTGACAAGTTGCATGTACTTGCTGAGGACATGCTGTCGGGGGTTAAGGAACAGGAACTGAGCAGAGCTGAAGAGGTGGGGAGGCGGGCGTGGGAGCAGGGTGGCACAAGTGGCCCCGCAGGCAGCTTCCCTCTGGGCTCCCACCTCCCTCACTGTCCTTCCCAGCGCTCAGGCTGACGGCAGCGGGGCGTCTGCCAGCGTTGGGGTTTCTTTCCTTTTCCCTTCTAGATTCCACTACAGTAGTTAACAGAAACAAACAAACAAACAAAAACCAGCAACCACAGGTTAGAACCCCTTCCCTAAAGCCTGTTAGAAAGCACAGTGCTGTTCAAGCTTACCGAAGTGAAACCAAGGTAAAATTAAGCTTCTCCTTGCAATTCTTAATTTACTCTTCCTTTGAAAAACGAACAGCTACACTGCCAGTCATATGATCCTGTACTGCTTCTGGTATGGTTTTCTTTCCCCTCCCTTCGAAGTTTCTGATTCATACAGAAATGAAGTGTCGTGTGGTCAGTGAGGCTGTAGCACCCACTTCTGTTGATGAGGATGATGATAATAGTGCAGGCAGCAACTGTGTCCCTGGGCTCTGGCCCAAGGTTACCAGGAGCTCTGTTCTGAACATAGCCTGTATGGTGCTGCAGGTTCCCTACACAGGGCCAAATAATGTCAGGCAAAGATTGACTTAAACTGATCTTCCAAAGTAGATTTTCCATTTTTTGAGTGTGACACCTTGAGTTCTGTGTTTCATCTCTGTGTGTGGAGCAGGGAGCCAGACAGGGCCTACCTTGCAGCATCAGATGAAGGGCATTTAAGTACATCTGGAGTTGGGAGTTTTGATGTAATGAAACTGGAGAACATTGCAGGACAGTGTGGTTTCGTTCTGTTGGGATTAGAGAGCAGGAAATGATTCAGGAAATAAGGAATATGGTCACTTGTGATAGCAGTTACTTTGTATGTTAAATGGATAGGGGGTCTTAAAATGGGTATGTGCTCATATACTTGAAAGCACCAACGGAACATAAATGCACAGGAGGTTTATTTGAAGGTCTAGGGAGTTCTTTCACTCTGGCTTTTTTTTATTTTTTTTAACACTTATGAATCATTATACTGTGACATTAGTGCCCTTTTAAATAAATTGTGACACCACCCACAAAATGGTGAGGGACCTGTTGTTCCTTCGTTCAGTTTTTTGTCTGCATTTACCCTGCAGACTGCTGTTGTTGACCTGAGCCAGACGCAGGAGTTGTACTGGTCAGGGCTTTGGTGTAGCAACCAGGCTGTTCAAGACACAGTGTGCAAACTTTGGTTGTGTTTCATTTGTTGCAATCTGCAGTGCTATCAGAGGCTGTGCAGAGGGCAGTGCTCTGCCAGAACTGTGCTGTGAGTCTGGGGTTCAACTTCCAGCAGTTTTGAATGTTAGGCTCCTAGATCTGTTTTCAACTGCCTAGATGGGGTAAGAGAGGAGAGTTTTGATTGCCAGATAAAGCTGTGAATAGAACTACAACTGCACACTTGAGGGGATTTTCTAGAATTGCTAGCCCAGCATTTTCCAGAGAAGTGTGACTGCAACTTGTAACCAGTCACTCAGAAAACTGCTCTGATTCTACAGCTTGAAGAAGGGCAGTAGTGCTGAGCACAACTTTGTCATGTGGGAAAATACTTGGAGACTATTCTAGAACAATTAGGGAGTGTCACATCCCCACTTAAGGGGAAGGAAGGTGGCCCTTTACAGAGAGTGAGCGGCACAGCTGTGCTGGAATCTCTGTTTGAGATAAGTGATCAAGAGCAGTAAGAGCCACGTTTCCTTGCTGTCACTGTATTTGCGTGGAACATCAAGCCCTGCTGGACTGACATTTTTGGTGTGGATTTACGCTCCTCCAGCTGCTGTGTTCCCTTTATGTACACTTAATTACCTGCACCTCCCCTTCAATAGTGACAAAGTTATAGTGATTATTTATGATCAAACTTGTCTGTTTGTTTCCAGGAGCTCCCAACACAGCAGAACTGAGAATTTGTCGTGTGAATAAGAACTGTGGAAGTGTAAAGGGAGGAGATGAAATTTTTCTTCTGTGTGACAAAGTTCAAAAAGGTAACCTTGGCTAGGACTTCCCTTACTCCAAATGGCCAACACTCCACTTTCTAGCTGAGGAACTGAAACTCTCCACTGTACTCCTATCTAAGTGGACTGCTTTTAGCTGAGCAGAATCAATTCCAGGATCAGGAGCTCTAAATACCTCTGAAAAATATTCTGTGCCTTAAAGTCAAACCATTTAATTTGGCTCTGAGTTTGGAGTCTGATTCCTTTCTTTGTTCCCCTTCCCACCTTTGCTGCTGCTGCAAGTTTTCAGTTTTCTTCAGCTTAACAAGGATCTTATTTCTAATGAACTAGATGACATAGAAGTCAGATTTGTCTTGGACAACTGGGAGGCAAAAGGCTCCTTCTCCCAAGCTGATGTTCATCGCCAGGTCGCAATTGTGTTCAGAACACCGCCGTTCCTCAGAGACATCACAGAACCCATCACAGTGAAGATGCAGTTGCGAAGACCTTCAGACCAGGAAGTCAGTGAACCAATGGATTTCAGATATTTACCAGATGAAAAGGGTATGGGTCCCATTAGCTGGCTTCCTTAAAGGTTGTTTTCAGTGCAGAATTCTTGTTGACAATGAACAGTAACCTACTGAGTTTAAAAAAATAATCCATACTATTATGACAACATAGATTTTGGAGTTTTTTCTAAAACTAACAGTAGCCAATTTGCTCTCTTTTTCAGTGAAAATATCAAGAGTTATGGTTAATAACACTTCTTCGGTTTTTTAGAGTATAGCCATATCTCAAATATTTCTCTTTAAATACATTTTACTACAACAGGGAGCCACTAGTCAAGTTTCAGAAACTTCTTTTCACAAATTATTTCCAAAGGTATTTTAATTAACAGTTTTTCATCCCGCTCCTTTCATTGTAGATCCGTATGGTAACAAAGCAAAAAGGCAGAGATCAACACTGGCTTGGCAAAAGCTCATACAGGACTGTGGTAAGGAAAATACTCAGCCTCTTTTTTTTTTTTTTTTTTTTGGTCTGAGTGAACTTAACAGTTACGAAGAATCATTTTGTTCAGAAGCAAACCTTCAAAGTGAATTCATGCTTTCTTCTGTCACAGGATCAGCTGTGACAGAGAGGCCAAAAGCGGCTCCTATCCCCACTGTCAACCCTGAAGGAAAGCTGATTAAGAAAGGTAAATTTCTGCTCGCGTCTCCCAGTCCAGCAGCAGATGGAAGCAAGCAGTGTCTGACTGCTGAGGGGAGAGGCTGGCGCTTTCAGGAGGGAGCACTGAAGTTCCCAAGGCAGCAGCAGTACAGTCTCTCACTACTCCTCAGCTGGAATTTTCTCTTTCCCCAGGAGAGCACTATAGTGCTTTCAACATAAAGATTAAATTTAAATGAAATCAAAATTACTTTAGAAGCCTATTTAAGGATTACTTGCTTTAGTTGCTACTTAAATGTAGCTTTAGTTAAGTGCTGATTTTCGCTAGGTTCAGACACTTTCTTTCAGACATAAGGCTCAGACATGAGGCCTCCCCATCTCTTTGCTTGGAACCTGTAATATTTTCTCAAGGTTTTTCTTCCTGTAAAGTAAGCCTACCATTCTTTATTTAAATGTAAGCTGTTCTCTTAGAAGGGGAACAAGGCAGCTGTCTAGAAGTACAGTGCGCCTGGACAGCATTAAAGCAAGTGCTGGTCCACATGTAATCACATTGAGCTAGCACTGGTTTTGCTTTTTTTTTTTTTTAACCATCTGTAACTTAACATAAAAAATGGTATAAGAATTCAGTAATATCTTTCCTTTTCAGAGCCAAATATGTTCTCACCTACGCTGATGCTGCCTGGGCTAGGAACGCTGGGGAGCTCCAGTCAGATGTACCCTGCGTGCAGCCAGATGCCCACCCAGCCTGCGCAGCTTGGCCCTGGGAAGCAGGACACACTCCCTTCCTGCTGGCAGCAGCTGTACAGCCCGTCCCCTTCAGCCAGCAGCCTGCTCAGCATGCACCCGCACAACAGCTTCACAGCAGAAGTGCCTCAGCCTGGTGCTCAGGGCAGTAGCTCTGTCCCGGCTTTCCACGATAACCCACTGAACTGGCCCGATGAGAAGGATTCCAGTTTTTACAGGAATTTTGGCAGCACAGATGGGATGGGAGCAGCGATGGTGTCAGCTGCAGACATGCAGAGTGCTTCCAGTAGCAGCATCGTCCACGCCGGTCACCAGGCCGGTGCCACTGCTGCAAGCATCATCAACATGGAGACCAGTGACATGAACTGCACCAGTCTCAACTTTGAAAAGTATACTCAGGTGCTAAACGTAAGCAACCACAGGCAGCAGCTCCATCAGGTGCCTGCAACATGCCCACCTGTGGCAGCCCCTGGCAGCACTGCCTTCAGTTCACAACCAAATTTAGCTGATACAGCAGTTTACAGCAGCTTTCTAGACCAAGAAGTTTTAAGTGATTCAAGACTATCGACCAACCCTCTCCAGAACCATCAGAACAGCCTCACCCTTACAGATGACCAGTTCTACGACACCGATGGTGTCCACACCGATGAGCTCTATCAGTCTTTCCAGTTAGACACCAACATGCTACAAAGCTATAACCATTGAGCCAGCAGCAGGCTGAGGCAGGCACATAGAGCTTTTCCAAGGAGTAACTCACCCTTCTGCTTTCTCTTTCAGAATGCTACTGTGCAAACCTCATGATACAACTTAAAGTTATACATATATCAATCAGCCCAAAGACTGGTGCCCATGAAGAAGCATTTGGGGTGCTGTACCTTCAAAGCTCTTCTTAAACATTTGTATGGTGTTGGAAAAAGGAATTACTAATACTTAAAGCATTGGGAAGAAAAGCTGATATCTTCAGAAGGGTCAGATTTCCAATAATTCACAGGGTTAATACTGTCTAAAAATAAAACATTTTGCTACAGAAATTAAATTAACATTTCAGAAGGACAAACTAGGAAAAAACTGCACGTGGGCACTCTAGTTCAGACTCACCTGACATATTTTATTCATCTTGCTTGAAAGATATAGGTTTCTTACCCTCTTTCACATAAAATATTTTTCTCCTAAAACAAAATCATGCATTGATTTTTTTTTTTATTTTTTTTCATGTTTCACCACATTCCATTTGCTTTCAAGGCAAATTTACTCTAAAGAAATTTAATGACTATGTCATTGTTAGATATGTTTTAAAGACCGGAAGGTTTGAGTTTTTAAATAGTCCAGCTCTGTTGTAAATGCATCACTGCACAGAAGAATGAGCAGAAAGTAAGGACTTCTCTGCACTTCATCCCGAGTGCACTATTTTAAATGACAAATCCCTGTTGCTTTAGGAATGGAGCATGCTGTTATTTCTCCAGAATTTGTTTGGTGTGTGTGTGTGTGTAGCCACGATGCGCATTTTATTTTGAACTACAGAAATGCAGTCAAAGCACCTGCCCGTTCCTTCCTCAGACGGCCCAGCAGTTTCCTGCTATGCAAGTGACTGCTGAAAGGCTCAGGTCTGGCTCCCTATCAGCCCTCATGGGAAGAGGTGAAATGCAGCCCACCCCAACGCGCTGTGTCAACAATGCGAGGCCGTTCCAATCAGTGTCAATTAAAACAGCCTAAAGTCCGCGGTATCGAGAACCAGAGCTTCCTCTCTTCTGCTAGCTTCCCAGTCTCCACTCTGAGGCCTGAGACACAAGATGTCCAGTGGCACCTCGCGTAGCTATCTGGCTAGGTAAGGCACTCAGGTCTGTGTTAGGGCTTTGCTATTTTACTGCTGATGTACGAAGCATCACAGCAAGAAATATATCAGTGTATTTATTTATACGGCTGGTTATTGTGGCAGATAGGGCTTAAGAACCTAATTTTTACTGTTTGGCTATCTAAAAGTGCACCATGGAAAAAAGCAATAAATAGCATGCTTGGATATGCAGGGAACAGAAACCACAACCACAAGACAAAAAGCCACTTGAGATGTACAGTCACACACCAGATAGAAAGGAACTCCAAAAACCTCCATGGTTTAAGGGAAAGCAGCAATTACTCAGTGCAGTAATTCACTGCGTGCAGAGCCACGAGGTGCTGCAGCTGTAAGGCATTACATCAGTTTCACGGGCCTGACAGAAGGGGCTCTTCCACAGTGTACAAATGAAGTCTGGGAAACTGCTCCCCATCACCCCATGTACCCAACTCCACACTTATAGCAGTTTTTCTCACTCCTGCAACACACCTTTCTGGGAGCATAAAAGAGATACAAAGAACGCTTGCATTGTGTCATTTATTCAGTTCTTCCTTTTTAAGTTCTCAATGTTTAAGTTTATTGAATGTAAACATTTTCTTTATAGAATGCTCTTTATAGCACAATTTGTTTTTACAGTATAATTAAATATTTTCAAAATTCTGTTTTCCTTTGTAAACAAGTTGGTTTGGTAATTAAAGAACTGGTTATACTGAGTCCTGAGCTTCTTCAGCCTTCTCAGCCTTGCAACACTACAAGACATGTTAGAGAAGCCACGCAGAGCTGCTGGGATTTGGGTTGCTTGTCCTGGGTCTTCCTAGAATATTTTACGTTACATTCACAACTGCTGCTGGCCACGGTGCAGTAAGGAGTCCTCAGCACTTGGCAGTTCTTTGTGGCACAGTAGCATGACTGACGGACAGGGAGGACAGAGGCACTCATGTTCAGCCAAGGCTGTGCTACTGGCACAGCTTTGTGCAGCAGGGGGTTTGCTTTGGGTGAGCAGCTACTTGGAGAAGTACAACAGCTTCATCCAAGTCCTTCTGGTATGAAGAAATATGATAAGGAACACTGGCTCTTAGATTTTAGCATTTACACGTAATCTGCTAGAAAACATCTACTGTTTCACATTTACCACAAGAACAAAATTAAATCTTGCTCTTACTACTCTTAGGAAATGTCCTACTGGAGTATTCACAAGTAGGTATTTTACATTTGAAAACAAGATGAACTGTCTCTGAACTGCAACAGGAGCAGAAGTCCCAGTTAGCACCATTTCCCCTTTGGGACACCTCTTCTAATGTCTGTTTTGTCCAGCCTACGTGTGTTTCCAGTGTATAGAACTTATACACCATTTGTGTCAAGAAATAACACAGTAGCCTGAAGTTTTCTCTTCCTTCTTTCCTGAATAGTTTCTGAAGATATCCATCGTTCACAACAGTTCCATTCTGGGCAAAGATTTATGTATGAGACAACTACTCCTAGGATCAGTTCTCATAACAGCCCTATGACTGAAATTGAGAGAATCTTGCTGTCTGAATCATGGCTCATTTTTGCATTTAAAACATGGGACCTTCTGAACAACTCCTATGCTTTGTTATGTCACTGTGGACTAGGAAAACAAACGAGGAAAGTTTTGACAGCCCATGACAGAGTATGTAAAATTCAGGCTAACTTTTCAAGATGAGTTTTTACATGGGCCTTTTGAGCCTTCACCTGCAGTTACCACCTAGCTGTTCTGTGAGGTCCTGGCACCACTGACTTCACGGTAACATCTCCGTAATCTTTCACTGCCCCCACTGTTTTCCCTGAAAAATAATCACCCTTTATTTCTGAAATGTTCATTAATGAAGAGCCTTAAAGTCCAAACCTTAATTTCCTGAGTTTATTGGTATCCCTATTTTTCACTAGGATTCCACCACGCACTTTTGCCAGGAATCCCCAGCCTGACGGTGACTCAGGGAAATCCTATGCTTGAAGAGGCCTGTAATTCAGCTAAAGAGCTGCTGAGGAGGCAAACACCTCAAATGGAGTTTCTACAAAACATCACTGGTGTTTTTAAATGAGAGACACTTGATTTTAAGTGCAAAGTTCTTATCTGGAAACTCTTCTTGCTTTGAAAAGTGCTGTGGGAAGCACATCTGCCCATCTCTGAAACCAACGCTGATCAAAAAGCAGCTGGCACAGGGCAGAATACCTCCTTCAGGCACTGTCCTGTGGGCTTGGTTAACAGCCCTGCACAAGTAGTGCTCAGAAAGTGTTAGAGCTGCATTCCAGGTGATTCAGTGCTGTTCGCACCCAGATCAGAAAGCTACAGCATTAAATATAAAAGCAATAATAATAATTAAAAAATCTAGCTGTATTGGTTAACTTTTTTTAATTAAACATTTCAAACAGTACTGCATTAAGCACATTTGTTGTACCTACTCAGCACACCATTTGTTTTTCTTTGCAGATTTTTAAAAGATTTGTTATCAATACATTAGCTTGCCAAAATTGCTGTACGCAGAGAAGAACATTTTAAAAAAGCTAGATATTGAATGACCACCACTTGAGTGAGTTGAACAAAGGAGCAGTGTCCTTTGGCAGATCAACATGATCCAAATGTTCAACAAAAATACTTTGTAACCAAGTTGTAGTACTGTACAGCCTTCAGTAAACTACTGCTGACCGGGGAGCTGCTGTGTGACATCCCAACTCGTGAAGCTAATTCTCCAGGGCTGGAGGCCAGTCAATGTCCACAGACTAGAAGAGCAGGAAAAGAAGGTAAAGATGAGCAGATTGGGCAAGTCTCTTCCTATTGATAGAATACCATCTCTGTGCTTGTCAGCTACAGGTTAATGCTGGAAAGCAACAGTAAATAGACATGATGTGACAAGGAGGAGAAAGTGGCAGGAAACAGCCACCTTCTTCCAGTGGCCTCACGAGTGTCTGTAGAGCATTTTCTGGGAGCAAGGGTTTTTTTACAAAGCAGAATTGCAACTACTTGTACTACAGCTGCCCAGCATGTCGGGCGGCACTGCTGAGCGTGCAAAGCTGCTTGTTCAAAGTGTGAGCCGTGTGAGAGCAATGCTTATCAGCCTTGGCCAAGTTAGGCACTCCTGCTTTCAGAGCTAACTGAAGTGTCCTCTGCAAGCTCTCTTTCTGTATTGTCCTACCAAAGATACACATAAATCTGCAAGTCTGTTCTACAAGAAGTAACATTTAGACAGTATTCTGGAAATATATTAAAACAAGCGTGTTGATAACTGGCTACCAGAAGTGAAAACTTATGTTTTAAATTGACCTTGCCAAACCACCAGGTTCAATATTAAATTCAAATCACAACATACATTCTTTTAATCAAAATAAATGTTGTAGTTACAGGTTATTATCTACCCAATCTGACTCTGCTAAGTGAACGCTTATATTTAGTTTGAACCAGTGGTAAAAGAGGAAGTCAACTCTTTCCTATTTTTCATCCAACTCCTTTTTCAAAAGAAATGATGTAAACATAATACGAAAAGAAAAGGTTCTGTTCCAATGGATACTAATAATAAGTGTCATGAATTCAAGGTACATCCTCTCATCCTTCCCCTTTCTCAGCAGAGGAAATCCCACATGACAAAAGCACGTGGCAGCACAGTACAAACCACAGTCTTTGCATAAATGTCAAATTTTCTATTAACTGTGGTAAGAAATGTTGATTTAGTTAGACTAAATTCACTGAAAGAGCCTCACAAATGCAATTACATCACTGATTTCCAGGAAAGTGAAAAAGAATGAACAACTCACTTCTACGTCCAACTCCAGAATGTCCGTGGTTCTGTTCAGCAGGGAGCCAATATTTGGCTTTGTTCTTCCAAAGTCTCCATGCACAAATTCTTTAACATAGCTAACAACAGCGGTTAAGGAAAGGTCTGTTTCACCACAAAGAACTCAAAAAAAAAGAAAAAGAAAGAAAAAAAAGAGAGGGAAGAAGACAGGAGGGGAGAGGAGAATGGACATCCGCTAAGCCCACGCCCGCCTTAAAAGACTGCTCATTCTTGGCTTTGGACTCCACTGCCAAAAATTGTATTATCAGTCTCTATTTTATGTTCTGTTCCAAAGTGTGTGGCAACTACGGCTAAGCTTCTGAGTATAATCAAACCACAATATGCATTACAGGGCATTAAGTACTGTGGAAAAGTTATTTTCTAAGGTAAAAATTTTCCACTTGAATTAAAAGGGGCTTAAGTGTACCTTTAACCAATACATTTATACAGATATCACACACTTTAGAGCTATCAGAGTAGTCATAAAAAAACAACAAAAAAAAACAACAAAAAAACCCACCCCACAACTGAATGTGAAATTCTGACATAAAAACAAACATCAGCAACATGAGACTGCTGAAGAGCAGATTTAGAAACATTGCAAAGGTAAAAGCAAGAAACTTCCCACTGCTTACAGTACCCTAATCAACAACCAACATTGATGTGTTGAGTAACAGCACTGAAGATACGTTCCTGCTTGTGTTTTCAGATGCAGGCGAAAGTGATGCTCATCTATGTACTCAGACTTCATGGTGTGAATGATTCGACATCTTAAAGCCAGAGGCCTTCTATGAAGAACCCGGAGTGGTGTCTTCTGGTCAAGTTTTAATTCCTATTACAAGAGGTAAATAACTGAGGAAGGAAGCATGCAACATCCTGCACAGACTGAGGTAAAGGCACATGGAGCATTAGGCAATCACATCTCTTCTTACTCTGTGTTAAGTTGAGAAATCTCCTCATGGAAGAACTATTTATGTATTTATTTATTTATTTATTCATTTATGTTTACCAAAGGAAAAAAGAACAGCCATCTCAAAAGCTATATGAGAAGGTCTCATATAAAGACAGTGTAATGGAATCACAAATACAGAATAATCTTGCAATCTCAATGGTCATTTGTTGGAATAACTCCAGGATTTAAAGTCACACTGAGAGCCTCAGGCGATCTAAAATAAAATAAAAATCCCACACACAAAATGCATTATCTAAAGCACAGCTTTAGAAACAACAGAGAGAGCTAGAAGAAACAAACTGAAATACGATCTCACAATAGACTTTTTAAAAGCTCATTCCCTATTCTCATCCGCTTCCCCAGATGAGATGCAGTTTGAAAAGTAACCTTTCAGGAAGTGGGTAGGCGTGCTTAAAAAAAAACAACGAACCACCACCAGAAACAGCTCACAACACTTGTTATCCTGAACTGTAGTGTTTTTAGCCCACAGCTGAGAATCATTTCATGGCCAAAGCCTGTAGGCAACAGTGCAATGCTACAAAAACTGACGACATTCCTTCACCAGCATCGCCTCTATGACCTACATTTGGAGGAAGTTCTTATTGGCAAAGCCCACCTGTCACACTGAGCACTTGGTTAGGTCTGTTTGCACTAGTTTCCATAGACCTTACAAACTCCTAACTGCTGCAGCTGTGAAAGAACAGCTTTAGAACATGCAGAACAAGACCATCACCATTCCTTTTACTTAACACACAATTTGAGAGAAAGATAGGAGTGCCAGAATTCCCCCTCTTCCATTATTTTTTACTAACTGGTCTACTGAAAGGCCAACATTATACGGTAATTTGTCTTGACTAACAAACAACTGTAGGGCTGACATGGCAATGACGAAATGAGTGAGAAGGGGGAAGTGAAAAGAGGTACAAAAGTCCTAGAATCTTGATCAAAAACAAGCAACAGAGAAAGAAATACATCCATGAGTGCATTCATATAAACTCTCCTCTAAGATACCAGGAAAGGCACTACATAAATTACCCAAAAGAGCTACACATACCTTGATATTATCTAGAAATGCAATATGTTCTTTCTGTATTGTTTTGTCTGTCCATATTAAGGCGCTATAGGTCTTCGTTTTTTCCTCTTCACCTTCCTTCATACGACCAATTGCCTCTCTAAACAAAAGAAATGAATTGCTCACACACCATACAAATAATCTTATAATGATGTGAGCAAGAATGCTTGCAAAACTCCCAAAGCATCACACTAAAATCCCTTGCCAGTGATAATAAATACTGACCTGGTGACAAGTTGTAAATCTCGGACCTGTATTTTGTCTGAAGAGTTATTAATTGTCTGTGAGATTTAAAAAAAAAAAAAAAAAAGAATCAGTTAGGAAAACTGCTCAGCTAGAGAAGAAATACATATTCTATGAATTCCACAAGGTGCAAATTATTTACCTGCTGAAGTCCCTTCATTTCCTCAGCAGTAAAATGTATTCTATGAGGATTCACAAGCTCAATTGCAAAAGGCCTTCCTGGAAACATGCACAATCATAAAATATAAAAACATATTGTTCTAAATTAACGTTTGAATTTATGCAGTAAGGTCAGAAGGTGTGAAAATTGTCTGCTGTTACGCAAAGAGGGATAAGAACTTGTGGGTTTAGGGATGTAGCATCAGATGGAAGGAAAGAAACTAAGGGACTTTTTTGGCTATTAAACCATAGTATCAGCAATAAGTGCAAATTACTACTTCCCAGAAGGCATCTTGTAGAAGTCTGTGCTAATTAAAAAATAAAATAAGAAAAAAAGTTAATTAGCTTATTTTCTGTCACCTATAGCAATGCCCAGGCACAAGATGATGTTAAATCCCACTCCCTCAGCTAAACATCTGTTGCAAGAGCTGCACTTTCTATGCTCAGGGCCAGGGATGATCCCCACTATAAGCAGTGCCAAGAACTGCACTACAAATCAGTCAGCAACTAGAACACATCATTGTTAGTCTTCACTTTTTCTCTCCTCTGGATTGTAGATTCAGCACATTTTCCAATACCAACCTTTAGAAAAGCAGCCAAGTTCAAAAAAACAGAGTCTTCCCCAGTGACAGTGAAGCAAAGTACAGGGGCTCAAAAGAAAACAAGACAGGAATCTGTCTGACACAAAAGATATAAAAATAGGAAGCAAATAAAATACTTCTAACCAGTTGCGCTTTTCCATGCATCTGTGTAGCCAGGACAGTGGAAAAAGGTCTACTTTTTCAGTTCTTTTTGAGAAACGGTTCAGTCATTAGGAACAAATACATAAACATCACTAAAATGTATCCAAGATAAAATTTCAAAGTATGTCTAGTCAACTTAAGCACTTAGCCTTCAGCGGTCTATTAAGTTAATTCAGTTAACCATTTTGTTTGCTTGCGTGCTCTACTGAGGATGTTTCTAGCCTTACCATTGCCTAGTGTTCTCACATCCACGTCTTCTCTTCCAGAGGAAGAAAAATTAAAGCCTATAACAGATTTGAACAAGGAAGTTTATTTTACATTTTAATACCCACCACAGCTTTGAAAAGGTGAGATATTCTAAACTACTTTAAAACATACTAGAAATAGTTATGTTAATAAAATGAAGCCTGCACTGTATTAGAACAAATCAGGGAACAGTTACTGTTTATTTCTTCAGGTTCACAAATTTCTTGAAGAACTCCTAATTCTTTGGCCTGAATGTGACAAACCTGAATCCGCCCTGCTTGGACCATCCTAAAGGAGTTCCACTTACTAACTAATTTTGTTCGTGTCTAACCCAGATACTTCAACTCTATGAATAAAATCCAACTAAGCTGTCTTCATCCAAAACACAACTTTTTATCCTAAATACACCCATGGGTTTCAGAGAAATTTCTGCTAGTCATATGCACCTGGACAGAAGAAAACTCAGACAGAAAGATAACCTCTGTGTATTTCTTTCCCGTATTCAATCTATGAATTGCTGCATATTTAGTTTCCTTTGTCAAATCCCTTCCACCTTTAAGCTTTGCCTGAAGGAGTGAAGGGGAACACCAAACTCTGAACTAGAAAGTAGCTTCGCAGCTCTGCTCCAAAGGGTCTTTGAAAACCTGTTTCACTTTTTTCCCCCACAAGGAACATACAAGAGCACATGAAGATCTCCTATTTTTTGTTATCCCTCACTTCTCCAATCACGCTGTGGCAATAAAACAACAGTGAGAAAATTCTCCCATGCTCTTGGTTACGTCTGTAACACTAGCAGAATTTTCTGAGTTGGGACTTTCTTGTACAAAACATGTTCCAGACCCTTAATTATGGATGGGATGCCATCCAGAGAGCTAGACAGGCGTGAGCAGTAGGCCCAAGTGAACCTCATGAGGTTCAGCAAAGCCAAGGGGAAGGTCCATAGCACCTGGGTCAAGGCAAACCTCACTATTAATAGAAGCCGGGAGATGAAAGGATTAAGCACAGCCCTGTCAAAAAGGACTTGGGAGTACTTGTGGATGAGAAGCTTGACATGAGCCAGCAGGGTGCTCTCGAAGCCCAGAAAGCCAACTGTATCCTGGGCTGCAACCAAAGCAGCGTGGCCAACAGGGCAAGAAAGCAGATCCTGCCCTTCAGCTCTGTGTTGTGAAACCTCACCTGGAGTACTGTGACCAGATGTGGAATCCTCAGTACAGGAGAGATGTGGACCTATTGGAGCACATCCAGAGGAGAGCCATCCAAAGGATGGAGTACCTCCACTTTAAGGACAGGCTAAGAGCTAGGGCTGTTCAGCCTGGAGAAGAGAAGGCTCCAACAAGACCTCAGAGCAGCCTTTCAGTATCTAAATGGAGGCTTTAAGAAGGAAGGGGACAGATTCTTTATGGGTCTGTTGTGATGGGACAAGGGGAAATGCTTTCAAATTTAAAGATGGGAGATTTAGGTTAGATATAAGGAATAAGTCTTTTACAGTGAGGGTGGTGAGACACTGGCTCAGGTTGCCCAGAGATGCGGCGGAAGCTCCCTCCCTGGAGACATTCAAGTCAGGCTGGATGGGACTCTGAGCAACCTGATCTAGCTGTGGATGTCCTTGTTCACTGCAAGGGAGTTGGACAAGATGACCTTTAAAGATCCCTTCCCACTCTCTCTAAGGATTCTATTATTTTATTTTCCAACTCCTTCATCAAAACAGAAAGCACGGCTGTGTGTTCTCCACTGTTCAGAGCCCTGCGTTTAGCCAATGCATCACAAGGCATACAGCTGTTTGCCATCACTTCAGTCAGCGCTGCACAGCACTGCCCTCCTGAGCCTTGCTTTCAGTCAACACACGGTTAATACTGCGCTGAGGTTTGGCTGCTGCTGAGCCATGCGTGGGCCACTCTGGGGGGAAGAGCCATTGCCTTTACAGTGTGGTGGTGATGGTGGGGGGCTGCACTGTGAGCCACGTTGGGCTGCATGCGGCCTGCAGGCTGTGGGTTGGATATGCCTGTCCTGTATGGTTATAATGCTTCTCAACATTATTTACATATATTTCTCGTATTCACCTGTCATAATTCTGCACGCTGAAATCAGTTCTTATATTGAAGAAAAAGTTTGAGGATTTTTCCAGTATTCAAGCTAACATACCAACCGAAGCAAGGAAGAAAAGGAGGGAAAAGTAGTTCTAAACCAATATGTAATGTAGTTTGTCCTTCGGATTTCTATGTCTGTAATTTCAAGCGTAGTATACAACAAATTATTATTTTATGTGGATAATCCCTGGATAAGCATTTAGAACTCTACACACTGCAGAAAATAAAATTAATCAAGGTAAGAAACATGAAATGGCTGAAAACTAAGCAAGTATTATGGAATGCCGACGGCAAAAACCATCAGCATTAGGAGGCATTTAATGAATTACCAACTGTTGTGGAGTATGGCTAGGCAAAAATACTACTGCATAAAACCATGTTTACATCAGCTCAGCTGAGGAGATACTTTACAATGATAAAAAATACTGTATAAACCAAAGTTATATGACTTCTCACAGAGCACAACTGTGTAGACGCTTTGACTTAGATGGGTAAAAGAGGAAAAAAGAAACAAAACATTTTCTGTTACACTGCTGTATTAACTGAGTAGCAATTAAAAATAAATACAGCAAAAGATCTCCTGGATACTTACTATCTGCTTTAAATTCTGCCATTAGATGCTCTGAAATCAGTTCTTCCACTGAAGATTCCAGCTTCCGCTCTCCATCAATAATCCAGGGAGTTTGAGGTAAATTCCTTGAATATTTATTGTACCTTCCTGTAAACAGCAAGTGTGGTACCTATAATTGTTCTGAAGCAATGGATGAAAGCTTCAGCCTTCCGTATCATAACTCATTTAACGTTCATAGGAGCCTCATGAAAATAAACATGCTTATACTTGCTCATACTTGTTCTACACCAAATTCATGCTCCTGGACCTACAAGAGTTTCAGTATCCAAGATAGCCAGCTTGAAAGGAGACTTGGAGACCCTACTGTTGTAGTCAAACCTTCAGGTAAAACCACACAAACAAAACTGTATGAAGCCTGACACAACTTGGAATGAAAAAGAAGAGGCCCATGTACCCAGGCTGAGTAAACTAAGTTGAGGAATTATTCGTGGAACCAGAACATGGCATCAAGCCAGTCTCCCCTACACCAAACTTCTGCTATATTTATGCCTGCCCACCAACGTACATCTCCTAAGTAAAGAAGTTCTCATACACCCTTGTATTAAGTAGTTCAGGCTTCAATCCCAAGTTCTGCCACTGCACAAATGTTTAACAAAAGAAACCCGAATCAGAATGCTTTGGCTTATCACAAGGAAAATCATGCTCGCACAATCTCTCACGAATAAACTATTGCATATTTTAGAAACTCTGAGAAGTTGCTATGTAACGAGATTGCCATCCTCTGATCAATTTGTCAAACCTCATATTGTGTCACGCTATTATGCAATCTCCCATGACCCAAGGACTACCTCAACCAAGAACCAGTCTGACACAGGTGAACAAGAGCTCTCCTACTGATAGGTTTTATAACAAGTGAAAATGATCGCAAAATAGGGAGCTTACTCATAAAGAACAATGAGTAACCTACGCTACCAAGTAACTGAAACCTTGCATTTATTAAATTTAAAAAGGCTTTCAAAGTAGCTGTGCATATTGTACCTGTATCTCTGCACCTTTTTTTTTTTTTTTTTTTTTTTTTAAACTTTCAGTATCATATTTTCCTATATCTAGCCACGTTTTCTTCCTGCATGTTGATCTGCCAAAAAAAAAACACATAAAAAGATGGGGAAATTGACTAATACTGTTTCACTGGGGCAGATCATGAAAGTACTATGAATAACCATTGAGAAGTCAGCTTCATACTGCTTAATTCTCTTTTCATAAAACAGAAATAGGAAAATAATACTTTTTTCTTTCAACTCCCCGTTCTGTAATTTTAGCTTTTGATTTGAACAAGAGGGAGCTAAAAGCAAAACTAGTGTTTCTCAGTTTGATAGCTTCTCTTGAATACCTAAATGTATATCTCTTTATTATTAAACAATAAAAAATGAGTCCCATGGAGAAGGGATCAGTAAGCACCAGCAATAAGGTCAAGGGGGCAGTAAAAACTAAAACTGTGATAAAAAATTAAGATCCTGATTAAACTTCTGTAAAGGCAAACAAACTGCACTGCATTGAAGAAATTCTTCTGGATTTAATTCTTCATAAACTAAAGACAACATACAGTCATACAAGAACATTCATCTCAATCTATAAACTGTGAATCACAGAAACAAAATTAAATCACCGTGCAACAAAGTAAGCTGAAATAAAGCAGCGTGTTTGGAAAATGCTAAAAAGCACTGCGTATCTCCAGTCTGTGAAAATGTACGTTTATGGTTAAGAGAACACAGCAGCAGAAATAAACAGATCACTTTACCAGCCACAAAAACTGCACCATTATTGCACTGAATTTCCAGAGCAACACAGAGGTTCTTCGGTGAACTTGGGGGACATGGAAAATGCCTGTATAAGAGAAGATGAGAAAAAACTAGGAATATCAAGATGTAACAGAGTATCACCATAGCAACAATGACATGAAAGACAATGGCTTCAGTTAGAAAAGCACACACCCACAATATAAATATAAAATATTCACTTTAACAACTAGAACACAAAGAAATGAATAAACACTAAGAAAATCAAGAAAAGTGTATTGCAAAATATACTTCTGTTAGTCTGCCATCCATCATTATGAATGTGTAACACTCCAAAGTGTGGTAATAAGAGATACCATGTTACAGATATAGAAATAATGAAACCAAACACTGAGTGGAAACCAGCTTCACTATCCTGATGGATAAATCTTTGCTGGGAATCCAGAAAAAGAGCTGCAAAGATTTAGTGCAATTAAACATAGTGCACTAGTGAGAAAAAGTCTGCTTATATCTTCCCCCTGACAGTGATCTTTTTTTCTACCACTTTACAGTGCTTGGTGTTTTCTTAAAACTCAACTCCTAATATTTGGAAATACGGGGGAAAAAATTCACGTAAAGAGGAGTTTGCCTTACAAATTCTAAGGTTCAAAATTCGTATGAAAGTTGCATGATTTCTAAATCTCTCCTGCGGTTTTGAGGATGTACATGAAGACTTTTTAATGTATGTGATTGGCAATGCTACAATAAATTGTTTTCACTTCTGACCATTGCAAACCCTGTGCCAGCCCAGAGACCTGCAGTGACATGCTGCTGGGACTGCAGAGCAGGACTGCAGCTCTCTTACCTGCAGTTTCTCCTCTGCAGTGCTCCTGGCATAATAAACCAATGAAGCACTTTTCCTAATAGGAAAAAGACCATTATTTGCATCATGTCTAATTTTCCATTCTAACATTACTCTTTAAATTAAAAAAATAGAATTGTACGTTAGCATCAGAAGCCTAAAATGCAACATGTTTTAACTAACAAACTAGCAGAATTAAAACTACCTTTTTTTTTTTTTAGATTCCTTTCTACTACTGACCTGCCCATCCTAATTCTTTACAAAAAAACAATATTAATAAATAGTTTCAGTGTATACTTACTTGAGAAAATCTTCTTCTTTTATCTTCTCTAGGGCTTTTATAACTGCCATTCTAGTGAAAACAGACTGCACAGCGAAATAAAAAAAGTCAGGAAGATAAGCTAAAAAAGAAAGAAAATCTTCAAACATATACACCACGCACTTCTCACAATACATTTTTTTCACTTACGTTCTGTGTTTTCTTATACCTACTACCAGTTCAGCAGGATATGATTTTAACTCCTCCTTTGTTCTTATATCTTCTCTGAAGCTTATCATTTCAACTCGTGCCCATTGTCTCTCATCTTTCTAAAAGCAGTGCAGTGAAAAGCCTAGTTCCCTCAACATCTCTGTAGTACTAGGGGTGCTTCTGTCGAGCTCTCTCAAATGCCTTCTTCAGGCTGAACAAGACCAAGTTCCTCAGCCTCTCCTCACAGGGCATGCATTCCAACTCTATCTTTCTAGGTCCTCTGCTGGATTCCCAATTAAATGATGTCTTTTTTCCACTGAGGGCCTAAACCTGGATATGATCTCCATACAGCTGAGGAACATAATATTGTCTCTCAGTCTACATGATACATTTCCATTATTAAAGGCCAGGATGCTGCTGGCCTCCACTGCTGGCAGAGATCAGTGCTCTTTCTCAGCTTGCTGTCCACCTGCCACAACTCCCAGGGCGTCTTTAAAAAAACTGCTTCCCAGCCTGGCAGTCCTCAGACCACGTTACTGCCAGACATTATTCCTTCTCAGGTGTCCAACTATTGTGTATTCATTGCAGCCAAATTTCATATGGTTCCCATCCACCCATTCCTTCAGCCTTCCTAGATCACTCTGCATGGCAGCTCTGCCCTTAAGCGTACCTACTGGCCCTTACAATTTGTTGTCATCAGCTCGCTTGTTGAGAATGGTCTCCACACACTCCTCCAGGCTTCTGACAAAGATGCAACATAGCAGGGATCCCAGGACAGACTCATAGGAATACGAGATGGAAAACCCTTAAACTAGCAATAGGCTTCAGACATTTTTACTCAGAATCCAGCTTTAACTCCACTTCTGATTAACACAGCCTTTGATACTAACTTCAAGCCCAGCCTCTCTTTAAGGAAGAGCCTCTGATTCAGAAACTGTATTTCTTCCTTTACATTTCGTTACATCTTGTTGCCTGTGTGGTTTCAACAGGCCCTGCTGGTTTAGCTTTTTACGGGGGATTTCCCCACTTTTACATGAAAGCAGTGCAGCAACCAGCAGGTTATCACAGTACAAAGCTTCTTAAAAAAAAAAAAAAAAAAAAAAAAAAAATTTGTATTTATCTGTCCAGTGGAGTACAGTAGACAAAATTCAAGGATCATACCAAATGTTGCTAAGACCGTTCATGAGAAAGAACAACAGGTCTCCTACAGACAGAAATCACTTTTCTCCCTCTGAGCACACCTACTGTCCTTGTCACATCAGTTTATCTCCAACTGTTTTTTATTCTTAAACACTCTCTTTTTTCATAATGATTACGTGTGTGTTCAGGGTCTGCAGCAAGTGGCAAGGTCTCTTTTCTTTTTTCCCCACTCCAGAAGTGGACAGGATAAAATCATCCTGGAGGTATTGTGCCTTTCATTTGGATTACAGGACATGAAATCTGTAACATCTGTATGAATGATATTACATGAATCTGTCACATCATTCTCCTTCAGCTGCAGAGTCTCCTTTTCAGAGTGCAACTTATCTGAACTGTTTCATTCACAGAGAAATTGGAGATCATGTTTTATGTGTTACTTTTAATGCAAGACACTCAAATTCTTCCTCTTAAAGGCTGTATATATAGAGAACATTCCTTAAAGTATTCGTTTGGACAATCTGGAAAACAAATGAGCTACAGAAAAGCACCGAGTTCATCATTTTCCTAAGCAGAGAAATGTTTAGTGAGTAAAATGAGATGACTATTTTCAGATCAGTAAAAATTCTGAGAGATTTCTGATGCAGGAAAAAATGGACATTAAACAGTGATGAAAAATAGCCATGGAAGTTTTTTGTTGTAGCTTTTAGTGTGAGAATCTGAATGTCAAAAAGGAAATACAGCAGTGATGAGATCCTACCTGTTTTTTCTTTGCTGGCTTGAAACAATCTGGACAGACTGTGGCTCTAAATACAGAAATGAAAATTAGCTGATAATCTTACAGAAAATGCAAAAAAACAAAGGAAACAAAAAACAGAGACAGTCATACTTAGAAGCATAACACTTAATGGCCTTTTTACCAATATATCCAACACCTCACTTCCACAGCTTAGCAGATTTCTAAATCAATTTTATACTAAACCACAAATGGGGGAAACTGCACATTGCCTGATCTAGAGATAAATCACAAAGCATTGTAAGCCTTTTCTGCTCTGACTGAACCAAATGCATTTCACTTTTGAAATAGAATGGAAAAGCACCTAAGTTTATCTTCAGTCCTTTGCAGTCCTTCTCAGTAAAGGTTACGATTAATGTTCCGCACAAGGTATGCTGACATCTTGAAATGCACACTGTAAATTAGGCATTTCAAAATTAGAGACTCAGTTGGTGCTTCTGGATAGGAAAATTCAACTTACTATGGAAAAAAAAAATCCTTCGCTGTTTGGTACCATTTGTGCTTTGCTGCTTCAAAAGGAATTTCTTGGCTGTTTCACAAAGGTGAAAGCCAACTCAGTTAAACTTTTTTCCTGTACTGTAGAGGAAGTTGCTGCTCCTATTAGTGGTTTTCTACGTATACAGTTAGAAATGATTTCTAGCCTGCAACACAGTTTATCAAGTCTATAGACTATAGCAGACCGTAAAGACGTAGGTCTGTCCTCTTGCAGTTTCTATACAAACAACTTCCTGGGCAGTTTGGGACACAAATCCCTTCTTCCAGAATTTAAATACAAATTTCCAAATATAAACATATATAACAAAACATAAACAAATATAAACAATATATCAAAAGCCAATCGATCTACCATATCACACCAAGGGTTATTTTAGCACATCCACCTGTGTACAACTATGCAAAAAGGGCTTGAGAGAAGAGAAACTGCAGATGCCATACCTGGAAATCCCATTCAAAACCATACCTGGAGTATGGGAGACTTTTCCAAGTTCGGACAACCCCTTACTTTGCTTCCATATGACTGTCATTACTAACATCCTGATAACTGCCAAATTTCCTTATTTACATTAAACCTTAAACAAAATCTCAGAAATACTTCCACATATGGAGAATGCCTGAGAAATTATCAGGTAAGTAAGCTAGGCAATATGCTGTTACTTCAGAAAAATGTCTGATCATTAACCAATTATCCCAGAAAGAGAAAGCAAATACAGGGATATTGTCAAGTCACACAGAACAGATCTGAGTACTTCTTTACAGTTTTCTACTCTACAGGTGCACCAACTTTGGCACTATAACAGGCTTGGCATCAACATTTTTGAACTGCCACAAAATGGTAGTGAAAGGATGAGTTGAAAATAAGAGCTGCCAGGTTTCAGAGGAAGGAAGACCACTGAAGGAAACCAGAATTAATCAAATAAAGTGAAATAAATAAGAACAGAAGTATGATCAATTCAGAAAACATGGAATTTTTACAGGACTGCAGGTAAAGTGGTACTTCAGCCACACCATTTTATCTCATTTTTGCCTTGTCTTGAAGATGCTGGAAGGGAAAGAAGTTCAGCAAATGCTGATACTCATTTCTTCCTAGTACCAGGTCATCAAGCATGCATTACCTCATCACCGTGCCCCTACACAACAGATAAGAAGGATGCAGTTGCTGAAAACCAAGAAGGTGGCAGATCAGGCATTCACAAGTTGCCGGATGAGATAATACCAGGCAAATCTATTAAATACTGCAAAGGAAATTCCTGGTTTCCAGAGATGAAGTCACTATGCAACGCAGAAATCTGAAGGGGAGCCTCCTTCTATGCTAGGTTTAACTTGCTCTAGGAGCACAAGAGTGGAAACACAAATTTTCCAGGAAGCATTAGCAAACAGGAAGATTGAATCTAATTATCCAGAATATAACAACTGCTAGATTTTGAGAAATCAGACTAAATGTTAAACTAAATTCACAGAAATATTTTGCTTCTTTGTGTTAAAAAAAGATTTATATAGCAGATACTCTACAGAGTGAGCCAACAGACTGTGAAGTGGACAGGAAACTTCTGTTTCTTCCTATCCATCCACGAGAAGGATGAGAGCAGGAAAACCTAGGCATGACCTCAAAAGATGCCCTTGCCCTAAATGATCTGATTTGAATTTATTTATTTATTTTCAAATGATACAAGCTAAACTGAAAAGGGTAATGAGTTTGAAAAGGGCTGAAATTCAACAGTTGGTTTGAACGTTCTCCTTCCAGCTCAAATCAAAATTCAGAATTATTTTCTTTAGCAGATTTAAAGCACAGAATTAACCAGAAGAAATGGAGTAACTTTAAGCTCTGCAGCTTTATCTAAATACAAGGAAGTTTAAACACCATGCTAGCTTACAAACACTGCATATTCTCATCTGTAGCAAATCCAAACCAATGAAGTTGTACAATATTTAGATAAAAGATCTTATGTTATTTACATCAAAACTTACAGGAAATGGCACTCCTCATCTGTTTCTGGGTGAGCAAAGACCACACTAACTTCAAACAAACTCTAGATTAAAAAAAAAAAAAAAAGGATGGGGTATAATACTCTGTTAAACAAGCCAGGAGGATATTCCCATATACCGTAATGATAGGAAAACAGTAAAGAGGCAGACAAAAGAGAAAGTAATACACTTATTCTACAATATAATATATTCTGAATATATATTCTACAATATAATACAAAGAAATACATTAAAACTTGAGCCGTGACACTATTTGCATTTCTGAAGTACTCAAAGATGATCTCAGAACACTTCAAAGGCATGAGTGACCTATACATCATAGATATTGGCCCCATTCTGTACAGGGAGAACTGAGTCAGAGACAGTATATACTCAAAGCCTATTATGGTCACTAAACTTAACACACCTTCTGGGAAAGCAGTGCTTAGTGTGGAATAAAGATAAAAACCCTGTAGCGCTCATCACTGTAGAATTTTGTCAGGGGCTTCGTTTGCAGTGACTGGATGGCCTTGGGGCAAAGAAAGGCAACATGTCCTAGTGGACTAACAGCTAGACTAGAAACCACTGTAATCTCAATTCTATCCCCAATTCCCTCTTTGGCCTTGGGCAAACAACACTCATTACTTCTGTTCTTCAGATACCAGTATATCTCAAGAGGGCTATTGGAAAGATTGGCTAATATTCAAGTGGCTTGTAGATAAAGAGCACTAGAAAAGTAACTTTTATGGTACAATGGAGTCTGAAGTGCTTAGTGTCTAAGTCCTGCAGGGTGTTTGCTAACTTGATACATAAGAAGTTTGTTTCTTTTTGGATCACCTTCAGAGTGACTGCATGATTCTTGCTTCACTAAGACAAAACGGATGCTTTCAATTAGTACTCCTGGGAAAAGACAATCTGTAACTACTCTGGAAGTTGACAAATCAACTTAAAGACTGAATGAGTATAGTCGTGGCATCAGTCTTATAGCTGATGAAAATAACTACAGACTGCTTTGCCCGCAGCAGGACTTTTAGCCATGTTTGCAGAGATTGATTACAGTCAAGATGATAGCATTTCTGGGTTTGTCTGACAACTTCTCAACGTTCCATCCAGTCAATGCATTTCAGAAACGTTTGGCAGAATTCAAAAGTTAAACTAGGGTTTGAAAAAAATTATGTCCTACTGCTTGTTCACTAGCACTACAAGTTCCCACATGCCTATCTCTAGCAGTCGTTACAATGAACAAACACTAGTCTTTCCTCCTTTAGAATGTTTCAGAAATATATTCTATCCAGTGAACTTAACATGCTAATAACCTATATGATTTATCTCACATCTATATACGCATATGTGAAAACAAAAAAATACACACAGGAAAGAAGTATTTTCTTATTTATACAACACAATACCTTTCCATCAGTGGGAACACCCAACTCCTCTGACAACTGGGGATGAATAATCCACTTATAAGCTTCTTTCAGCTGAACAATGTCATCCTTTGCCAAGGAAAGGCCCAGTTTTCTGAATAATATAAGTAAAGAAATAATAACTTGCACAGGAGTCAAACATAGATAACCATATGATATTTCAAGATAAACTTAAGTAACTAGTTGCAGGTGAACAAGCACTGCACAAATAAAAAGGACAAACGTGCTAAGCATACAGAGCACAGCATGAAAGAAAGGCTGTTGCAAGGGTTCTTATAATTGCAATGAATCTTTGTTTTGAATCAACAAAAAAGGTGTTGAGGAAGCATTAAGGCCGGACCAGGATTTCAGGTAAGATGCTTTCCAGTAAACAAATACTCGTGTGCATGCTGACACCACTCAGCACGGTAAATCATACCAGTACACTGATCCCATTCAGGGTAAATCTAAATCCATTAAAAGGAACAGTTACTGTTTTTTCCTCCAGACAGACCAGTGAGATAATCAGCTCTATGGGTGGGTGGTCACATAAGTATTTATGTTAATACAAGAAAGACAGAAGGCACATGCAGATGGAGCTGGGATCCTTATTATATCAACATCCTTCTTAAATCAACTTCAAGATTCAAGTTCAACTTCAGTTAAAATTTTCTATCTAGATCTTGTTGTTCTCAGCACCCTGGCCACTTGCAGTATCCTCTCATAGAGGTTCCAGATAAGATAATACCACGTTTTGTCCTGTTTCTATTTGCTAATGTTTCTTTAATTAACAGCTTAAGAACAGGTTCTTTTCTTTCCTGTGTAAGAGAACGCACTATAGTTTCATGGTAGATCAAAAGTTACCAAAACCTTTTCAGAGTCTACATGGAGAAGAGGTTAGAAAGAGACTGTCAGAAAAAATCCTTTGTTTTAAAGCAAAACAAACAAAGCCACAACACTAATGTAAGACATTTTCCTGTTGTTAAAGGAATGATTCACTCCTTCATTAAAGGAAGGACATGAACTTCAACAGACAAATTCCAGAGGGGAAAAGTCCAGATAACAATCTCAGTTGACCTTGCTGGGAGAGCTCAACTGACTCTGTAGGTACAAGACCAAGCTTTGATTCCTATGTCTTGCCTATGCAGAGAAGAGTTAAAAGGAGCAGTTGCCAGTAAGAATGCCAGCACATGACTTCAAACCCCTCATTAGGGAACCTGCAGAGCAAAGCATACGTCCTTCTGCATGAACAGACCCAATGACAATATCTGCTCTATACAGGTTAATCTTCTCTAAAGCAAATTAATGAAACAATGGCTTTAAAATTAGTCTCAAAATAAGAAGTGATTTATCTTTTACTCCGACTCTTTCATAGGAAAGCAATTCTACGTATTCCACAACTGTTAGTTGAAGCACCTTTAAATGAAAGTAACTGTTTTGATCTTGAAAATAAGGTATTAATTCCTTTCTCAAAATTTTTTCTTGAATAAATATCTCAGCAGGTCCATTGCATTAAGTGATGTCTCATTTCAGCTACGCTGAAAAAAAAAAAAGCTGTAGTAAGAGTATCTCTCCTTCCTCTAATTCTTCGGGACACTTAGTAGACATGACGTGAGAACTGCCAAAATAAACTACTCACCCCATTTCCTGTTTTACCAGCAGCCAAGCAGCATGCTATATGTCATCAGCCAAGCCCAGAAAGAAGAGAGAAAAAAAATGCAAGTGAAATTAAAGCTCAAAACTTCAACTGTTTGAAAAAGTGCAAGAAAAATAATAACAACAACAATAATAATAATTAAAGTTTAAAAAAACCTCACGTCAGTAAGGAAGCGTTAGGATTTTAAGTCAGCTTTTGCTTTAGGAGTAAAAAGACAGAATTAGTGTTTGTTCTTTTCCTCAGAGACTCACTCTGCATGCGTGAGCTCTTCCTTACTTTATTGCTCATTCTCCCATCACTGCACTTACAGAAACATAGGTAAGCTTTTGGGAAGCAGAAAAATTAATCAATTTTCCGTCACATCAATTGGAAGCTTAACACGTTCGCAGAACAAATAATTGATTACATGGCAGAGAGATTGTGCTACCCCCACACGGGACACCCTAAGTAATTTAAATCAGTTCCTAGGACAATCTGACATACGTGGAACTGGGGGCAACAAAAAGCAAAGGAAAAGACTTGAAGATAAATGATTTCTTTTTCCCCATTATGCTAAGCTACGTTTTCGTATTTCACTAATATTTGAATGTTCTGCTGCTTTTCTCTTCCACTTGCTGATTTTTAAAGTGTCAGTCAACACAGTCCTTTCAAAGCTGTTCTGTCATAACATTCTCCCTGTTCTCTAACTCTTTGAAAAAGCTTTCACTTTTATGCGCTCCTTCCTATACATCTCCATTTATCACTCCTGATACAGTTTGAAAGAACAAGTGCATGTGTCTTACAAGGTCAAATACGAAAGAACCGCCCACTTTTATTTATTTACTTATTGCAGAACAGCTCTTCCATTTCAGAAATAACTGAAGATAAGCAGACAAAGTTGAAGTTGTGATTGCAGTATCTATAGACACTAAAAGTTTAAATCCCGAATACAGGAAAAGCTAAGGACCATTTTTGTTCCACACTGACAAAAAAAATCAGGCTTCCCCTGCTGATAACATTAGTTCAGTTTTTACTTTCCTAGTGATACTGAATATACTCACACATCTGGCTAAACGAAAACCAAATTAGTATTACTGAGTACTAATGAGCATTCAGTCTGCTACCGGAGAGACCATGGAAATGACACAAAAGGCAATGGGAAGTCCCAGATCTCTGCAATAAACTGCATAAATTTCTAAGTTTACAAATTAAATTTTCAGTTTACAAATGGACAACCAAGACACCTCGAATCTCATCTATCTTTAAAAACAGATCAGGCTGCAATAAAAGCACTTCCAAACTTGCTATTAATACTGTAACTAGGAGAACTGATAACCTAATTCAAGTGCAGCCAGCACGAAAAGAGAAATTAAAACAAATGTCTAAAGAGATGGTATTTGAAAATTGATCTGGCATACTTTAAAAAAATAAACACACAAACAATAACAACAAAACAGAGTTGGCATCCATAATAAATAAAAACACTAACTAGAAGACATACTTAGGGTAATCACGAACCACCCATTTGCACCACTTAGTTAAGGAGACACACATTGAATATGGAAAAGGAAAGAACAGAACAATATACTATCAGAAAGCTGAAAGAGCTGTTGGTACAAACACTGGAATTCACTAACAATTGCTTATTCGAGCAGACTTCACTTCATATTCTCCTCTTCATTTCCCAGCTGACCCTCTGTTGTTTTTTACAAATCCTTTGCGAATACCAGCTTCTGCAGCTCCAGATACACTACTTTGAATGGAGGTCCCATGAATATTTGATTTACATGAGAGACCATAACAAAGTTCAGGGATGTCACAAGGTCTTTATCCAACCTTGTGCTTAAAGCACGAACAGTTATGAAACAGGTTGCTCGGGGCCTTATCCAATTAGGTCTTGAAAGCTTCCAGTAACGAAGACTTCTCCACTTCTTTGAGCAACCTCCTCTAATGATTGATTGTCTTCAGTCCATCCTTTATAAATACTTCATCATACACTGCTGCCCACCTGCAGCAGCCTTACATAGCTAACAAAATATAATAAGGCAGGCTTCTTTAACATGATAGTGCCCAAGATAGAAGATCCTGAACTTAGGTGTCACAATCAACTCAACAAGTGGAACTCAGCAGTACAACATTTAATATTAGTTGTAACAAAAGTCAAAAGCAGAATTAAAATGACCGCTGATAAAAAATGATAGCAGAAAAACACAAAATTAAGCACAAGAAGCCACAGCCTTCATATCAGTGCAATGCTATCAGATTTAAATAAAATTTAAAGGGACCAAGAAATCAAAGACTTCTAGTGTACACTGTTTATGTCAAAAGCTTCCAAAAGCATACCTTTACAAAACTTTGCTCTGGGAAGCTTGGCATTTTAAAGGTGCATCCCTTTGCAGACCCAATCACTTCTCTTTGTACTGACATATTAATCCCATATGATGATCTCCTGCTTCTTTCTAGTCTTTCTAGTAATTTTACAGTGATTTAAGCTTTATGTTTTTCACTCTGCAATGCGTTAAGAGTTACTGCCATTCACAGAATGGCTTGGATTGAAAGGGACCTCAAAGACCATCCAACCCCTCTGTCACAGCCAGGGTTGCCAAACCACTAGATCAAACACTGTATCACATTGCCCAGGGCCCCATCTAACCTGGCCTTGAACATCTCCAAGGACTGAATATCCACCACCTCTCTGGGCAGCTTGTTCCAGCATCTCACCACCCTCTCAGAGAAAAACTTTCCCAACATCTAAACTAAACCCCTCTTTTAGTTTAAAACCGTTCCCCTTGTCCTATTACTATCTAGTCATGTAAAAAGTTGATTTCCTTCCTATTTATAATTTTCCTTTAAATACTGTTAAACTGTAATGAGGTCTCCCTGGAGCCTTCTCCACAGTGAACAAGCCCAGCTCCCTCAGCCTTTCTTCACAGAGGAGGTGCTCCAGTCCTGTGATGATCTTCACGGTTCTCCTCTAATTTTCCTCTGCTGAGGGACGCAGACCTAGATGCAGTACTGAGAGGGACCTCACAAGGGACCTCACCCTGCTGGCCCCCCGCCTCTTCTGATGGAACCCAGCATACCATTGGCCTTCAAGGCTGCAAGTGCACGCTGCTGGCTCACGTTAAGTTTTTTCCTCTACCTTGTCCTTCTCGGCAGAGCTACTCTCGAGGAGTTCTCTGCATCACACTGAAAACACACTTTACTAAACTGAAGTTAACCAAAATTCTAACTCTGACATCAAATGATCTTCCTCTAGTCTAAATCACGTCATAATAATATCTTTTGTCAAGGAAATAATGAAGAGGTTGGAAAACATGTACCAAACTTCTCAGAGCACAGGCACGGTTGCATCATCTTTTGGTTAAAATCAGAACAAAACATACCATATATCACTTATATGCTGACAGAGGAACTCAGTCAAAAATTCGTCTTCCTTTGGTACATCTAAAAGAATGAGGCAATCTTAAAAGCAGTGCTAGAAGTAGTAGGGGGAAAGAGATATGGTGAAGAAACCATGCAGACTTTGTTAGATACATAATACACAAATCAGCTCGTTACTGACCAAAACAAATATAATTGTACTGACAGAATACTGTTTATTCAAATTCAGTGATTCATTACACTGCATATGTAGACAGTATGAGTAAGACTCCTTCACAAAATACTTGAGGCATACTATAATCCTGTTTGCATAATAACCCAAATAAAATCATAAATAAAATTAGCTTGAAATTGAATTTCCTTGAACACACACTCACACACATCTAAACTAGAGTGTATGACCATGCCTAGAAAGAAGTCTGCATCCAAAAGTGCCAATTTAAACAATCATATGTTTTGATTTAAGGCACACTGTATGTTTGGTAATCAGTTGGGTGGCCGATCTCACCCCCTTTCCCTGTTTTATGGGAGTAGAATCAGAAACTCGAGAAAACTTACGTGTGTTACTAACTGCTAAAATAGGTCCACAGGACAAATTTCACCTTCTCTCTACTGACTGCAAAGTTAAAGATAATTAAAGGGGTTTTAAATTACTTTTCCCGTTCAGTTAAGAGGAAACAGTAGATTAGGCTGTAGTGAGCACATAAGTCAGAAGACCCCAAATTATAAATCAGATTCAAACAATCCCTCTACTCTTGCCTTAATTCCCCAGCTCTGCCCTTTCCCAGTTGTATGCAAAGCAGGGGATCAGATCCTTCTATTTCATAATTACGTTATGTTTGAGAAGTGGTTTGAAAATGAAAGATGCTCATTACAGAGCTCAAGCCTGCAGGGCAATACTTAAAACCTAACATATTTCTGAAATACACTAGCACAGGCACTGTATTGATTACAAGCTGCAGGATATTATTCTAATGCTATCTGAGGAATCACAGTGGCAACTGTTGAAATACCACGTGCAATTCCAGCCATCGCACTTTTTCTCTGTATTAGAGCTCAGAAATGGGGAATTCCATGTTGAGGTATACACAGCCCTACAGGGAGTAATGACTATACATGCTATTTGCATCAACGTCCTTGTAGCAAGTATCAGGATGATGGATCACAACAGAGACTACAGACACTGCTAACAGTCACATTTTTGAAGGGCATGACTCGCTTCATATTATAATATCGTTGCCTAATGTAAACTTGGAACTGCTGTATTTATGATTTATTTCAATCAAATATCCTACTTCTAGAAAGAGGTGACAGCTTCTGTGCATTACAGATACAAATACTACGCAAACGTTAATTTTATGTCTTCCTCTTCTTCAGTTCATTCCTACATTTTAGGATTAGCAGGATAACAACTGTTACAATAAAATCAGTTGAAGGTAATATTAAAAGACAGTTTCTGATTTTTTTTTTAAAGTAAGTCTGAGAAAATCTGCATGTCATACAAAAGGTCACTGGGACAAGGAAGGCTGTCTTTGGGTTGTCCTTTTATTATAACATTATGTATGTTCTTGCGGAGTGCAACTTAAAAAATTAAAAGCAAGATTCAACAAAAGATCATAACCTCAACACAGAACATCTCAAAATACACCCACTACTATCACTTGCTGCTTTTCTGTAACTATAAAGTGGAACAGTTTTCAACAATTTTTGAAGTGGTAAATGAATAGGTGGTAAACAAAATCTCATGGTTTAAAGCAAGTTCTTTCTCACCACCACTATCAACCATTTTCATCTCCTCAGTTAGAGCACAGTTCTACAAACAGCTGAGTTAGCATTTGGTACTGAAGGTGCAGAATAGAAATGACAGCAGAAACCTTCTAATGCAGGTCCCAGACGAATCAAAACTGTTTCCAAAGAGAACATACATATTTTTGGAGCTTCCCATTCATTCATCTCATTCTTCTTGCTCACCTCTGGACCCAAATCATATCTTTTATTGCCTCGGTTGTACCAAGCACGTAATGTTTGTTTGCTTGAACATAACAACCAGAAATCTCAGATGGAGCAGATGGACAGGTTAAGAATTGCATCATCTCACTCTTTTTATCAAGTTAATAATTTACTGCACTTAGAAGACAGTTATTATAAAATAATAAATCTACTAACTACATTTGCCAAGATAGTTTTCCCATTCCATAATCTCAGGGCATCATCAAGATTTCAATCACCAAGAGGAATTCTTTGAAGGAAATTATTCTTTTTTGCTTCCACTGCCTCAAAGCAGACAGAATCGCCCTACTTGTTCAGACCAGCAGGAGAACACCAGTGAGCTAGAACTGCAATGCAAGAACACCCCCTACCGAGGTATTATGGTAAAGACCCATAAACAGGTTGCTTCACAGCAGCAGCAAATTTTTCTTGCCTCGCCTCTTAGTTATACACATAAGCCATGAGGAAAAATACATATCTTCAAGATAGATAAACTATAACTGTCAAGCCAAATATGCATAATGAAAATGAATTAAAAACATGAGAAGTGCAGTTGAGACTCAAGGCAAAAGACTGAGTACATTATTTTCTTTTTCACTCACAGACACTACAAAGATTGAAATTCCCTTCTGGAACTGGCAATTGAAAAGCCTCTATCACTGGCACCCTAGATATAATAGGGCTCCTCTTTCATTTTAAAGGTAACACTTCTTTGGTTAACTCTAAGCACAAACTAGGGGTAATTTTGACCAACATTTGGAATTCTATGTCCATATACTTAACTAGCCTAAAAGTGTTGGGTTTTTGGGTGGATTTTTTGGGGTTTTGTTTTTAATAAATCACATTTCTTGGATGACCATAAAATGAAAGGAGAGTAGTAAGAGTTTATCCAGACACAAAGCAAAAAGTAATTTGCTCTGGCATTATTTTACTAGAGACAGTGGCAGCTGAAGTGACCAGCACAACTAGGCTTAGATTTGGATAGGAAGCAGGTAGTCTGATGTGGAATCAGACTTAGAGCATATATCAGCACAAGTTCCTACACTGGCATTTGCTTAAGATATAAGAACTAATAATACTATTGAACACTAAAAACTGCAGAATGAGAGCAAACCTCGTCACAGATTCATACACAAATCCAAGAGGATCAATACTACTTTCTGCCACATTGCACTCAAGTTTATACTAGATCCAGAGGCACCTATCTTAAAGAGTTACAAGTCACTTTTTACAACAAAATTTTTGAATCAATTCATCACTTCATTAGAAAACAAGGCAACATTGTAAAACATCACATAATAGTCACTTTACTGGTAAAGTTATAATATGCCTAATATTCTCCCTCGATCTTCAAAAGAATTATCAGATATATATTGTGTCCATGCTATCATTATCTTATGTAATTAAATGACTAAAATGTAAATAATTTGAGTTTTAAATTTAAGTCAACAATTCTTAACAATTCAAGATAAGAACTGCTATCAAAAAAGTAGTTTTGCGACTACAACTGCAAAAATCCAGACTTTCAGCAACGCTCAAGACAGGTGATTAGCAAAAGATGTCTTTTTACAGCTTTTAAAATGCTGCCAAGTTAGAGAGCTTAAATTCAAACCTCTTCACTTCTACTCTGAACTACCAATTATCATTTATTTCAGGAAAGGCACCAGCTGTGCTGTTCCTTCTCTGAGAAGATCCTCTTCACTTTTTCAGATGTAAAGTAGCTCCCAGGCTAAATGAAAACTGAAGTGACTCAGACACCTTACTAATTATGACAGTACTTAGCAAAAAGGAAAGGGAAAGCAGACTACACTCGCAGCAAGGTTTGGGGTTGTTTTTTTTTTTTTTGAACGATAGCAATTAAAAATCAAACTACCTCCAGTCTGTACCTTCCACAGTTACCTTCTTTAATACGTGTTTAATATATGAAGGAGTATCTGCAAAACTCACCTCCCTGACAGAAAGCTGTGGTGGTAGTGACACAGAAAATACAAAACTGGTGAACTGGTAGTCAGAAGAATTAACCTTTTCACAGATCTGGAAAAAAAGAACATTAATATTGAACTACAGCAATGGAACTAAGTTGATAATTTTTTTAGGTTTTCTTTATCCAGCATAATCATTGTAAATCCATATTAGTACACATTCAGATAGATGCCAAACATACAAACTAGATTAGCCCTGACAACTTACTGAAATACAAGCCTGAAAAAAGACCTTATTAATGACTCCTATTCTTACTGGTGTGTGACACTATGAAATAAGAAAACACATTCTTTTAAGGCCAAAACCATATACACAAATGTTGATGCAGGAAATTATACCACAGAGACCACATGCTAGAAGAGTTGACTCACGATATTTTTCTTCATGGCACAGATACAATTCTATGACAATAAAAACTTTTAAGTTCCTGTCATAAGAAAGTAACCAAAAAGTATTCACAGTAATAATTCAGTCAATCTTCAAAATAACAGAAGACAATGGAACATTTCATCTTTCAGTTTATGACAGAATTTTCTCAGGATTAGTATACAGTTATTACAAATAAGCAGAAACATCATCTAGTCTTCTACTGTTCTTTGATAAAAAAACCATGTTAGTCACTGGAACTACAGCAAGAACCCGAACATGCATCAAATGTTTTAAAGAAAGTTAGTGAAAGCTGATGGCTAGCTGTTTCTACCAGAAGGGACAAAGACTAATCATGAGGTTCCAGGATGAAATCAGCAACTCTGATAAGGAAATTTCCTTGTGAGAGAATCAGATTTTGCGGTGCCTTAACAAATGTGCCTGTGCGCAAGAGCATGTTATGTGATTTTCTACTGATACAAAAGAGCATAACTCTGAAACAAGTCTTAAAAGTAGGTTCAATTAAAATATATATACTCTTTCAATGGAGACAAAAGGAAAGAAGCATCCAACAATTCAACAGAATCTATGTAGTATGTTCCCATGGCCCTATTTTTAGGTACATTAACATCATTAAACCAAATCTGTTTCTATAAAACCTCAGTCAAACTTCTCAAGTGCAAGTGGCATTTTTAGCTAATATTTTAGTTTGTCACATAAGCAATTGTACTGCTCAGAGATGATATCTGCAACATGTGTTATGTCCATGCTCTCTCTTAACTCCTTTTTTCTTTATTATCTGCAATCTGTTGTACCACCAAACACATTTTTTCCTTTGCGGCTTTCTAAAAAGTCCCATATGGTAAAGAAACACTCCTATATTAGAAACACACAGTTAAACTGAATAGCACAGCATTCGATGCCTCCTCATTTTGCCCTTATATAGCAAAAAGGGGAGAATCATTTACAGTGAGGTTTCACTTGTACTCTAAGCTCCTAAACTGATTACAAGAATATGCTCCTGTCTATCATTCCATTGCACTTATACTTCTCTTTCTGAAGTTATATTATAACAAACCTTGGATAAAACACAGTCACACAAACAATTTTATTTTCCAGCTCCAAAATAGGTATGCAAGCACTATGTCAGTGAGCAGTACGTAGCTGAATGGCGCCATCTACAACTCAAATATTCAACACAAGTAAATGTTTCAGTTTGGTTTGCTCCCTCTCTCAACTGTTTAACTGTACAGTGTTTCTGATCACCAGATCTATACTGCAGACCCTGAAGTACAAAAGCTCCTAAAAAGTACCTAGATTAAGAACTGACAATTTACCTTTTTAACAAAGTCGATCTCGCAGAACTCTTGAAGAATTCCCAAACACACATTGCAAAGCTCCTCAGCTGAGTTCTCCACAGCAGCATTATCATCATTAACCAAAGGAATCTGACTGAGCATTCCATTCTGGTTCAGATCATCAGGCCCTTCTTCTGCATGTCCACGTCTGAATCGCTTACAAGGCGGATCAGCTACATCAAAGCAAGCTGTATCTTCTTTTTCTTGATTACCTTTCAGGAATTGTTTCAAATCCTTCATCAACTCCTAACACAAACAGAGGGATTTTACTGTTGTTGACTATTCCTCTTTAATTCAGTGCTGTAAAAAGCACTAACAAACATGGGTTTAAAGAAGCAGAAGAAACCACCTGTAGCTTTAGTCTTTGTGTCTGTAACTAACAACTTGTAAAATATACCAAAAGACACTATCACAATAAAAAATAAACTTCTGTCAAAATGTTACAAAAAAAAAAAAAAAAAGATTTTTGCTGAACAGACTACTTTACTGTCCAAGAACACTGGAAACATTTTACAGACTGAGTTGCAGAACTGCATTTATCTTCAGCCTCATCACTGCTCAAGGAAAACAGATGTTTATTCCCTTTTTGCCATTCAGATAACCTAAGAATTTAACTCCTCCAACACGATTAGCCCACACAACGAAGACAGTTGGCTACCAGAGTACAAGAAGAAAATTAGAGCAGATAAATGTGATGGTGAAATTAAACACACATGACAAAGTACATGTCTCAATCATTCATGTAATGAGAAATTTAGGAATATTCCCAAGTGTGGTGGTGAGGAGAGAGAACTAACCATATATCTGAAATCTAGGAAGGATGAAAGGTAGAGGTAACACACAGGTCAGAAAAAAAAGATTTATTAAAACATCTTCAATAACAGCAGTTACTGTGTTGTTGCAACTCAGATGAAAATTGGGTACAGCTGCAAAAGAATGATAAACCACACACAACAACACAACTTCTCAACAGAGAGAGCTGATTAAAAATGAAAAAAGGATAAGGAAGAAAGACGTGGAAGAAGAATTCTGGAGAGTCTAAACTTGAGTGAAAGTGAAATAATCAAGGCAAACACTGTCACACACAAACATAAAGACAACACGTTAGGGCAAATACACAGAAATAATGGGCCTACACAGTGAGAACTCTAAGAATCAACATGGTGGAGGAACAAATAGCCAAAAATAATTTCACAAGTGCGTAATACAAGAAAACAGGAAGACTGTGCACAACCGGGAAAAAAAAATTAAGAACACTGAATTTCAGCGGGAAGGTCAGCTAAACAGAGTGCTTAATAGCACTGTTTGAACGAAAGTGGAGGACCTATCCTTCACCTGTGCCTTTCTTAGCTACATCCCTCAACCAATTCTCCTGGAAGATGGAAGAAGTATGAAGCAAAAAGGGAAGGCCCTGAATCAGCTTCAGTGACCCATAGCCCCTTTGCTACTTACTGCATGAAAGGAAAAACAAAGGAGGGAACTGTCATAGCTACACTGCAAGAATGATAGAACCATGCTGTGCAGAAGTTGCTCTGTCCTGTTTACAGGAGTTTTCGAGGAATGCACAGCAACTTAATAAACCTAACACCGAAATCACAGGAATTCTTATACTACAGCATTACTGTAATTTCTCAAATTTGCACAGTTCTGCAGCCACTTCTCTTGACCAAAAATACAAACAACATCCTTCTCCTCCAAGGAGTGTGCAAATAATACTGCATTCATGCGGTTGTACGTTCTAATTAGGAAAACAAAAAACAAACCTTGTATGGATGTCTATAAAGCGTCTGCGATCCCACACGGCAGAACCTGAAAATACATCGTGGGCACGTGCCAGCGCCCAGTAACAGCTGAACAATCGGTCTGTCCTTTTCTGTTAGAGGAGGCATGCTAGACAACACTAATATATACTTCAAAAAAAAAAAAAAAAAAAAAAGGAAGAGGCTAACGATAAACGCAACTCAGCAAACAATGAAAGAATTCATTCACCTCCCAAGGAGGCAGCCGTGGTACCAGAGGAGCCAGGGAACCCGGTATCACGGCACGGCACGGCCCTCAATCACACACAGCACTGCGCGCAGGGCCGCGCCAAGCAGCCACTGCGGCGCGGGGCGGAGCGCGTCGATAGGGGCGGAATGTGGAACGAGGAACGCGGTGCCGGAAGGCCGCCGGTTCGATCGCTCGGCGCTGCGGCGTCCCGCCTGCCGGGGGCGGGCGGAGGAGCGCGGCGGGCCGGAGCGGGTCGGTGCTAGAGCGGGGCTGCGGCGAGGCGGAGATGGCTTCGCAGCCGCCGCCTCCCAAGCCCTGGGAGAACCGGCGATTAGCGGGTGGCGTGGCGCCCGCCTTCCAGTGAGTGTGAGCCCCGAGCCCGGGTCTCTCCGCGCACGACGGGGTCGGCCTTCGCTCCCTGCGGGCGGCCGAGCTCAAAGGTCGGGCCTACCCGTCCGCGCGGCGCCGGCCCAGCAAGGCCCGAAGGCTTTAGTCGGGCCGGGAGGTGCAGGGCGGGTTGTGCGCGGGGCGGCCGTTCAGCCCGCTTCGTGGGGAGGTGTGTAGGGGTGTGGGGGGAACCCTTCGTCGGCACGAAAGGTGCTGTGGGCTCCTAGCCAGGCTGTGGAAAGCCGAGGATTTAACGAGGTGGAGGCGGACGTGTTAGCAAAGCTGGGTGTGTTGCCACGAGTGGAAAAAGTGCTGCCGTTCGTAGCTGAGGGTTGCGGAGCCGTGCTCGCCGTGGGAGTGGGGCTGTGCGCGGGCGTTCCTGGAGGTGGAGAAGATGAACGTGTGTTTGTTGCCGATGTGCTGACCTGGGGCTGGGCTCCTCCAGAAAGCAGCGTACGCACTGGGAAGGATGCCGCGCAGAAAGGGTTGGCGAGCTCATTGAAATCAGAAATCAAGGAAAGCTTGATGGCTGGAGATCAGCCTAGTTTTCCGCTTGGTGCTGTTGATTGCAATTATGGTGAGCTGAAACTGGGTAAAAGGTCACCTGCAAACTGAACTTTCAGGAAAAACCGTTTTCACTATAGGCTGAAGCTTGCTGAGCAAGATGTGTGATGTTTTTTTCGTGAAGTTATCTACTTCATTTTAATTTACTCCAAGTATCTTAAAAGTGAGCTGTCCTAAGGTGGCTTTTGGGCAGGTGTCCTCATCTTCTGTAGTAGTAACTTATTTTTACATCTGCTTTTAACTTGAAGTAGAGATTGGAAGAAACAAACAGTATCAAGATACAAATATACTTTGCTTTAAGTAAACCTACAGGTTTTGCTGTGGGAAAAGTTGTTGCCTATCATATATGTAAGTAGTATAGCAGATTGCTTCAATATGGAAAACAGCAGATGTTGGACAGCTACTTAATAGAATTCAGGTGCCAACCTAGAACTTGCAGAGACCTATTAGAAAGGGCATAGGTAAACTGGCTGAAACACAGGCATGCAAAGGGCTAGAAGTTCATTAAATTAAAAAAAAAAAAAAGTAAATGAGCTCATAATACCTCTTTCTGCCAAGTGTTAACAGTTTTAGATTCAATCCCAGTTCACTAAGGGACAGCAGGGAGCCCTACTCTCTTGTGTGTGCTGTATAGTCATTTGAATTTTCAGTTAGGTTCCACCAGCGGTTTCTCCCAGGGTGACTTCAGAGGAGCTGTCTACCTTCCTTCTTGCTGTACCATTGGCTATACCATTATCTGGAAGAAACGAGAACAAATGCAGGAATTAAAGCTTTCAAATTGCAAAATATTCTTGGTAGTGTGTATGAGATGCTCTTTTGCCCATGCAAATGACTTAGGAGTTGAATGAACATCAGGTTGGATGGGTCTAGCCATAGCATTTTGTGCTTTTAGTCTGTACGATAAAAACAGTTTATATATGTTTCAGTTATGCTGCAATTCAACACTTACACTGATTTTTTTAATTATTTTTTTATTTTTTTTAGTGAAAGGCTTGTATTTCTTGACAGAAATTTTTTCTTCCTACTAACACCGTGCAACAATACAAGTATTTGGCAACCAGGTTCCACCGTGCAACAAAACAATTATTTGGCAGTTTGGCACTGCCAAAACACAAGATCATATTGATAGCTATTCAAGAATGCTGGAGAAAATAAAAACATAACTCATTCTGAGTACTGATCTTGGTTGTCTGAATTTGTTTAGGTCTCCTGACTTGAGTGACAACTTGCTGACCAGACCTGGACAACCCACAGTTGCACGAATACCTCCACCTATTTTGCCAAGACCATCACAGCAAACAGGAAGCAGTAGTCTCAGTACTTTAAGGCCAGCATATAGCAGTTCTTTTACTACAGGCTATGGTTCATATGGAAATTCTTTTTATGGAAGCTACAGTCCTTACAGTTATGGATATGGTGGCTTGGGCTATAACCGCTTTCGTACAGATGATATTCCTCCCAGCAGGTTTGTTCAACAAGCTGAAGAGAGCAGCAGAGGTGCATTTCAGTCCATTGAAAGTATCGTGCATGCATTTGCCTCAGTCAGCATGATGATGGATGCTACCTTTTCAGCTGTGTACAACAGCTTCAGAGCTGTGTTGGATGTAGCCAACCACTTCTCCCGCCTCAAAGTACACTTCACAAAGGTGTTTTCAGCTTTTGCTTTAGTGAGAACTATAAGATATCTCTACCAACGTCTACAGCGATTACTGGGTCTGCGGAAGAGCTCTGAGAATGAGGATTTGTGGGCTGAAAGTCAGGGGACAGTAGCTCGTGTTGGTCTTGAAGACAAGGCAGCTAACTCAGCAAAATCCTGGCCTATTTTCTTGTTCTTTGCTGTTATTATGGGAGGTCCATATCTGATTTGGAAACTGCTTTCTACATACAGTGATGAAGAATCAGGTAAAGATGATCTGCAGCATGGGAGAATCATGAGAAGTACAGATGATACTGTTCATTTAGTTATCGTGTATAGAGATTAACCTTACACTTCAGCAATGGAAATCTATAGATTCTGGGGTACAACACTGAATTTTAAGCATGTGGTATGGTACAAGTAATAGCTTGTATAAATAGCCTGCTGTTGAACTGAGATTCAGTTTCATGATACACTTTATGTGATTGCAAAATCATGATTCCTTTCTATTTAAATGTGGCAGGTGGAGAAGGAAAAGCTGTTGGTTAGGTTTACTCACCAAATCACAGAATCACAGAATGGCCAGGGTTGGAAGGAGCTCAAGGGTCATGAATCTCCAACCCCCTGCCACATGCAGGGCCACCAACCTCCACATTTCATAGCAGCCCAGGCTGCCCAGGGCCCCATCCAACCTGGCCTTGAACACCTCCAGGGACAGGGCATCCACAGCCTCTCTGGGCAGCTGTTCCAGAACCTCACCACTCTCTCTGGAAAGAATTTCCCCCTGACATCCAACCTAAATCTCCCCTCCCTCAACTTAAAAGGTTAAAAATGTTGTCTTTGTTAGTCCTGTTGGTCCTCTGCTAGAGAAGCAAGAAAGTTAAGGTGTCTTCTCCATTTTTATTTTATTAAAAAATCAAAACCAACCAACCAAAAACTTCTCATCCTTGAAATTCAAAGCAAGTAACTTCTTAATTTCTTTTTGGAAACAGTATCTAGTAACTGGGCAAGTGGAGAAGATGATCATGTAGTTGGAAGAGCAGAATATGACTTCAGTGCTCTCTCAGAAGAGGAAATATCCTTCCGTGCTGGTGACATTCTAAAATTAGCACCCAAAGGTAAGCTTTTAACTTTCAACTTGTTTTCTAATTGTATGTGAAATAAGTTGTGTAGTTTGAGTCTGAATTGTGTGTAGGGGGGGAAAAGAAGGGAGCAAGGAGGATGGGGGAGAAAGTGAGAATGTAAAAACAAAACACCTTTTTTGACGCAATTCCTCAGACCTACTTATTATTTTTTTTAAATTATTTTTCATTATATGCACTGTAATAAAACTTACTAAACAGTTTTGTTCAATTTCCCTGAAGTATAACACAGCCTAAAAGTATTACTCAGAGTATACTTTGTGGTTACCTTTGTGGCTATCCTTTTTTCATATTTGTTGTCCAGCTGTGAAGATCCTTAGGCGTTTGCAGTATGGTGGTGTCAACAATTTCAGCTTCACAGTGCACTTCAGAACACCTCATCAATGCAGATCCTTGTCATTTCTCTTGCGTAGTAATTTGTATTTCCCTTTTATTACAGAGTTATTTTCTGTGTGATCAATTGTGCTCTGCCTTCTTGTGTATTTGTGCCTCAACTGCAAAATACTTTGAATTGCTTCGTAACCTAATGCTCTTGCGTTTTCTTTTTCAGACCAACAACCCAAAATCCGTGGCTGGCTTCTGGCTAGTTATGATGGTCAAACAACAGGACTTGTACCAGCTAATTATATCAGAATACTGGGCAAAAGAAAAGGCAGGAAAACAGTGGACCTGGAAAGGATTACAGAGCAACGTCCATCTTTCACTGGGATGCCTGCTAGAGGATCCACTGCTGCTGTGACTTTGGAGGAACAGGAAGCTGCTTTTGATTCTGTTTTTGCAGGAAGTAATAAAGTTCCTGTTGCATCTGACTCCACTGCAGTTAGTGGAGAGAAACAGGAACTCTAATGCACTTTCCTCAACAAAGCAACTGAATGGTGTTTTATTGATAAAACTTAGGGTATGTTTAAAATCTATGTTGTAGTAGAACACTGATGGGCCTGTACCAGACTGGTAAAAAGATGGAGAAATTCTTGCTCAAATTTGTATTATTTCTTTTTAATTTACCTAAGGCTGCATATTACCTAACCACCTTGCAGCAGCTATAAGATCTGGAGCCAGGAAGAATTGAGGTGTTTATAACAAAGCAAACAAACAAAGTAATAAGTGCTGGTCTGTTCTGATTAAGTAGAGAAACTGTTGATAAAGTCTAGAATTAATGTCCAGTCTTCATTGGAATGTCAGCTTGACAGGATGCCACTTCAGCTGATGTGCAAAGGGAAAGTAAATTTCTGTGAAAGGTTGTCCAGAACTGGAGGCTGAGGACGATACTCTAGTAATAGTACTTTGTTTCCCTCTAAGAATTGCGAGAGATTTAGGTGACACAGTCAAACCATTACAAGTTCTCAATTGCTTGCTTTTGGTAAGAAGTACGGC